TCAGGTGAATCCAGTTCAGTTGCAGAATCTGAGTTGTTTATTATGCACTGAACTGAGAAATGTAACTAACACTGTTATAGTGTAGTCACAGGGTTATTATCAGTGCTGACTGAAATACAGTGTTCTGAATCAGCGAGTTGTGATTAATAATCCTGCAGATTGATCTTAATGCTCGTAATAAAGGTTAGAGAAGTGACTTTACCGGGTTTCACTTCGTACACCGCAACACTGTGTGTGTGTTGAACTGTATTCCCTCTGAACACACTTATATGTACACATTCACATACACACATGTGCGCACACACACATAAAGTGTTCATTCATTCATTCATGATCTTTTTGGCTTAGTCCCTTTATTAATCTGGGGTCGCCACAGCGGAATGAACCGCCAACTTATCCAGCACATGTTTTACACAGCGGATGCCCTTCCAGCCGCAAATAAAAATGAAGATTTGATATATATACAGTAGGACATTTACTAAATAACGAGCGGCATGGTGGCTCAGTGGTTAGCACTGTGGCCTCACAGCAAGAAGGTTGCCAGTTCGAGTCCTGGCTGGGTCAGTTGACATTTCTGTGTGGAGTTTGCATGTTCTCCCCATGTTGGCGTGGGTTTCCTCCGAGTGCTCCGGTTACAGTCCAAACACATGCGCTATAGGGGAACTGATCAACTACAGTACATTGGTCGTAGTGTATGAGTGTGTGTGTGAATGAGTGTGTATGGGTGTTTCCCATACTGGGTTGCAGCTGGAAGGGCATCCGCTGTGTAAAACATGTTCTGGAATATTTGGCGGTTCATTCCACAGTGGCAACCTTAGAAATAGTGACTAAGCTAAAGGAAAATGAATGAATGAAATAAGTGAGGTTTATTCATAAACTAATTTCGAGAGGATCACGTGCTTATGATTTATCGCGGCCGGTCCCGTATTTGCTAATCAGTATCTTCCAATCATAAGAGCCCTAAGCTACTATAAATAGCCACAGTTTCCTGCTCATTTTATCTTCATTTGGAAGAAACTCCCCTCCTCCCCTATTCTCCTCCTTTACCTCTGATCGGGCGGCACGGCGGCCCAGTGGTTAGCACTGTGAGCCCCACAGCAAGAACACTGCCGGCCCTGGTTCCCGTGTCTGCGTGGGTTTTCCCCGGGTTCTCTGGTTTCCTCCCACCATCCAAAGACATTCACCATGCATAACAATCAAGCATTTGTCTAACCCCTCTGTTCCCTTAGCTACCGCAGCCGGGGAGTTCTGAGATCCACCAAGCTCAGGCTCCCCTCTCGCTCTGCCAGTGGGAGGAAGCCCCGGGCTCGAGGATCCCTTGCCAGCATGGGTTAGCAGCATGCCAGACAAGCTTTTTATGAATCATCAGCTAAGTGTGAACTCTTAAAATGTGTGGGATGAAGCACTTTTAGAAATGTAGACGTTAACCCTGGTGTGCTGTTGGGTGTTTTCCTCCACTCTGGGCTGATTTTGAGTCCTAATTTGGCCACAACTTTCTCTGTTTCAGCAAATGTGATGATTTTTGGTAATAAATCTTATTTTGACACATATGTTGGGAAGTACTGGGTAATTTGACTCTCCTTTGGTGATGTTGGGGCTGTTTTTGCCCCGTTGACTTCCATTATAATCACATTTATTGACTGCAAAGCCATGACAGCAGATCATCATGCGTTCTTGATTGTTGCTGGTCTTCCCTGCTGGGAAGAGATAATGTGTCATGTTCACTGTTGGTCATCAGTTGCCATGCAAAAAAATGTATAGGGATTCTGAAGCGGTGTGCCGTGGCCCATTAGTGCGCCTCAGCGATCCTGCAGAGCGGCCACGAGATGAACTCTACCTTTAAAATACACTTCCAGAAGAGCTGACCGCCACAAACAACCTGCTGAACCCAGAGCAGATGACCTCACTCTGCAGGATGAGTCAGTCACACACACACACACACACACACACACACTCTCACACACACTCAAAGGTGTTCATGAACGAGAGCAGACTGGGATAATAAGAAAAATATCTTTATTTGTCCATTAAAATATCTGCAATACATCAGACACAACTGAAGACTGAAGAGGGAAATAATAACAGCATCAAAAATAATATGAAACTTATCAAATATAGAATAATATGATCATATGAAGAGAGAGAGAGAGAGAGAGAGAGAGATGTCTTTCATTCACACATCTGACATCACAGTTCTGTGGCCAGTAACCTTTTTCACACACACACACACACACACACACACACACACACACACACACACACACACACACACACACACACACACACACACACGCACACACACGCATGTGAACAAACACACACTAGTGCATGTACAAAAACCCATATGCACTCACTCACACACACACAAACAAATCATGCATGCACAGATGTACACATGCATACACACAAACGCACTCGCGCAAAAACCCTGCACCCCAATTCACACTCACAAACACACACACGTGCACAAAAACCCATGCATTCACTAACACACATGAATGAACACACACACGCAACCAACTCTTTTCAACAAATTGACACACAGATCTTTTGCATACACACATACACACAAAAACAAACACATGCATGACAAAACACACACACACACACATGCATGAGCACTCAAACACTCAAATAAATGCACTCACACATGCATGAACACAAACATACACACACACAAACACGCACTCAAACATACATGCACACATGCACAAACACACTCACACACCAACACACACTCACATGAACACAAACAAACACACACTCAAAAGCACACACTCTCAAACATAAACACATGCATGAACACACTTAAACACTGAAACACACACACACACACACACACGTGCACACAGGAGTTTTGGTGATTTGATTACGACTCATAGACAGATAGCAATCTCTCACACACACACACACACACACACACACACACACGACCACAGACTGTTTCTTAGTATTTAGCATTATATCACTTGTTGTCAGATCTTCATTCAGAGAAATGATTACATTCGAGATCTTCTGTACAGCTATACAGTACATTCGGGAAAACTACATGCAGTATAAATACACACACACACACACACACACACTAATGAATGAGGGAAACTGAGGAACAATGAGGAAAACTGAAAATCATGATAGAAAAGCAAAAGTCAGAAAATGACGATAGAAACAACTAACAGACGATTCGAGAGAGAGAGAGAGAGAGAGAGAGAAAGAGAAGAGAGAGAGAGAGAATTCAATTGAATAATTGCTTTATTAGCATGGCAAATATTACAAATGTACTGCCAAAGCAATTATAAAGTTTACATAAAAAGTAACAAACATATATAATAGTAGTAAACAAAAAAAGATTTTTATATATAATAAATTATATATAATTAAATAAATATATATAATAAAAATTAATTATATATAATAAAATAAATATATATAATAAAAATTAATTATATATAATAAAATAAAATAAATATATATAATAAAAATTAATTATATATAATAAAATAAAATAAATATATATAATAAAAATTAATTATATATAATAAACTAAAATAAATATATATAATAAAAATTAATTATATATAATAAAATAAAATAAATATATATAATAAAAATTAATTATATATAATAAAATAAAATAAATATATATAATAAAAATTTATTATATATAATAAAATAAATATATATAATAAAAATTAATTATATATAATAAAATAATAAATAAATAAAAATAATAAAATAATTTTAATAAAATTAAAATAAATTATACATAATAAAAAAATTCATATACATATCATATACACACACACCTAGCTGATTATAAATGAATGATTGTAAATATACTGATTATTATTGTTTTTATTACTGTTTTATCCAAAAATGTTGACGTTAAATGTCGTTTATTCTGATCTAGATTTGTATTGATTTGTATGAATAATATGATATGTTGAATTATAATATAATATATTGAATATTAATGTGATATATTGAATAATATCATGTATTGTTGATATTTTATTTAATTATTATATATAAATGTCTTTTTTTACTACTATTTACTGTGTGTACTGTTTTTATTATATATGTGTGTTTATTTTTATGTAAGCTTTATAAATGCTTTGGCAGTACATTTGTAATATTTGTCATGCTAATAACGCAATTATTGAATTGAATGGAATTAACAGAGAGAGAGAGATTGTTTAGTTATACTGTAGTTATATTTGTTTTAGCTTCTTCCACAAATCTACTTTTGGTTTCTTTCTTTTGTTCAAAAAAAGCAAAATACAAAGCACATTTCCCATTCACTCTGAGCTTTACATTAAAGACAACATCAGACTGACTCACAAGAATGACTGTATTGATCATAAACGTGATCACATACAAAAAATATGTTTATTTCCCACGATTCTAATGAAGGATCTGCATTAAAGCATACTCAGGCACAGTATCTCACAATTTAGTTAAAATCTGAAAAAGTTTGCAAATGTACAATTAAGTTTTACTTGTGAAACTGCATGAAAAAGGCAGAATTGAGAGATATTATTAGGCTGGTCATGATAATCACTATACAGACTTAAGGCTCAACACATGCTCATGAGCTCAGTCATTTTTGCTGATGCAATATACAGCTGAAGTCAGAATTATTCGCCTCCCCGGTTTATTTTTTTCCCGAATTTCTGTTTAACGCAGAGCAGATTTCTTCAACACATTTCTAATCATAATAGTGTTAATAACTCATCTCTAATAACTGATTGATTTTCTCTTTGTCAAGATGACAGTAAATAATATTACACTAGATATTCTTCAAGCCACTAGTATTCAGCGACATTTGAAGGCTTCACTAGGGTAATTAGGGTAAAGTTAGGGTAATTAGGCAAGTCATTGTATAACAGTGGTTTGTTCTGGAGACAATCAAAAATATATATATATAGCTTAAAGGGGCTAATAATATTGACTGTCTGACTTGTTTTATTTGGGCTAGAATAAAAGCAAATTGTCAATATTATTACCCCCCTTCAGCAATATTAGTTTTGGACTGTCTCCAGAACAAACTCTTATGTTTATAAATGTGTTGCAGATGGATATATACAGGAGGGCTGATAAATCTGACCTGCAAAAGCTCACAATTGCATCAAGAAACAGTCAGATTTACCTTTGTCGACAGATTTGCCTCAGTATAACAGTGTGTCTGCACATCTGTGTGTGTTTTCAGATGTAAAAGCGTGCTCTTGCTCAGTGCAGATGGATGTTTTTCTTCCTCGTTCACTCTGTCAGGTGTTGTAGACTCCTCTGATAGTCCTCCACAGGTAAAGATCCAGGGGTTTGGAGCTCGTAGCTGCGCAGGTAATGCCCGTTGGTCTGACTGGCGAAATACAGGAGCTGCCTGGCGAACATCGGCTCCACCTGACCAACAACACATTCAGGAGATCAACAATCAAGTGTTTGTATTACAGAAGGCTTGATTCTGATTGGCTGGTGAGCATGTGCAGTTATGGAGCCTTTTCATAAGACTCGTGTGATGCGTTTAACGCTCATCAGCATCTTCAGTCCGTCAGTTTTTAATATTTTTATATCTTTTAAAATAAATGTGCATGTGTTTATGCGTGTATTATATCATCTGTGGATCAAATCGCAGTAAATGAATTAGTGCTCTGTGTGAGGGGTGTGTAATAGAGTGTGTAGGACAGTAAATCTGGCATTATTCTCTCCTCTGGCTGCCGTTTTCAGTCTCACACTATTGTTTTCCTTCCTCTGAAAGTCTTGATAACACCATCATCAAGTATGTATGTTATTATTTCAGCAAATAGGATTGTAAACAAATGATTTGTTGTGCTCTCCCATTCACTGCGCTCCTACTGCACTGAACTGATCCCAGTATGACTATCAGTATGACTACTGTCGACCTGTGATGCATGAGCGTCTGCACGTGTGGAATGTGATTGTACCTGAGCTGTGATCATTTTGCTCTGCCGTTGAGGATCTGGAAACTCGTCCCCGAAGCACAGAATGACCTGAGAGCGAGGCATGGGGCGACCGTGATGAATGAAGCCTTGTAGCTCTATAATAACGCACAGAAACACACGGCACTTCAAAAACAGTGCTCAGCATAACCGAGCCTCACTTTCACATTTATATTTCCAACAGTAATACAGTAATAACCTGGTTTTTCACGATTCCGTGATTGCTGAATCCAATGCAACATCAACAAATGTTGAACATTGGAAAAACCAAAAATATAAGATATATATATATTTTTTAAATGTAGTTTTTACAATAACTAGTTTGAATTTAAATGTGTTATCTTTCCATTAATGATGTTTGGTGAGCAAACTCTCAATTGTAATGAATATAATGATTCATAGAGAAATTAATTAAAATGTTCATATTCAAAAGGGGGTGTACTCATTTATGTATAGTTGAAGTCAGAATTATTCACCCCCTTTTGATTTTTATTTTCTTTTTTAAATATTTCCCAAATGATTTTTAACAGAGCAATGAAATGTTCACAGTATGTCTGATAATATTTTTTCTTCTGGAGAAAGTCTTATTTGTTTTATTTCGGCTAGAATAAAAGCAGCTGTTAATTTTTTAAAAACCATTTTTGGGACAAAATTATTAGCCCCTTTAAGCAAATTTTTTCCCCCGATAGTCTACAGAACAAATCATCGTTATACAATAACTTGACTAATTACTCTAACCTGCCTAGTTCACCTAATTAACCTAGTGAAGTTTTTAAATGTCACTTTAAGCTGTGTCTTGAAAAATATCAAGTAAAATATTATTTACTGTCATCATGGAAAAGATAAAATAAATCAGTTATTAGAGATGAGTTATTAAAACTATTATGCTTAGAAATGTGCTGAAACAATCTTCCCAGAACAGAACAAAAATTGGGGGGAAAAATAAACAGGGGCGCCAATAATTCTGACTTCAACTGCATATATATATATATACACACACACATATATATACATATACAGTGCTTTACATTTACACAGTTAGACAGACACTCCCACTAGCCACTTTGGCTGGCTGAAACTCATGTTTAAAAGGCCAGTGCTGGAAGCAGTGCAGAAGCAGCACGACTGACAAAAACAGCTATTTACGAGAGCAAAAGAAAGCAGGTGAATAACGAATGAGAGGATCTCGCATACTATAAAACAGGCTTTCCTCAATCACTGATGAGGGCTTTGGTGTCGCGCACAGATGATTTGATGCGCGTGACTGTTTAAAAGCTCCTGTACCGTTTGCTCACTCGAAGCAAACGTGCCTTGAAATGAAACTAGTGTGATGCTCGTCCACCCACAGTCCTTCAAGGGCTCGAGATTCTTTGTAAGCAGCAGCAGTTGTTGCCGCTTTCGCTTTAACAATACTTTGAACAGATTATTAATCGGCCTGACATTAACCGTGAGCGCGGCATCATCCTTTCACTATCACGCACAGAATGTTTTTACCTGCTTTCTTTTACTTGCTGTTATTTTTGTTAATATAGTTTAATAATCATCCTTCACAATAATATTGCTTCAATATGTTGCTGTATGCAGTACACTGGTGATTACAAATAAACTGCATAGTTGCAATCTAAACAACTACATTCTCCGCTAAAAAGCCTCAAAAGTATATGATGTTGTCTAACAGCAGTAATATTTATCAAACTGTAGTGTCTCTCTGCTTGTTGCTGGCTGTATGTGGGCGGAGTAATACACAGTGAAGAGGCCTTTGTGCTGTTACTGGCAAAATATTGCACGGCTATCAGCCAATCAGATTATATATATATATGTATGATCGTATATATATATATATATATATATATATATATATATATATATATATGATCGTTTTTAGATTTTAGTTATTTTTTTGCATCAGTGTAATAAGGATGCACATGATATTGTCAGTCTGGTTCTGTTAAAAACAAACCAGGTTTGTTAATAAATTGATAGCTCCGCCCTCTTCTGAAGACAGCTCAATCTCATTTGCATTTAAAGCATCACCAAAACAAAGTTAGGACCAAAGCCTGAAAGAGTCAGTTTGAGAAAGCTAGAAAGCATTATCTGTGTGCTATTCTCAGCTCAAACTTCACTACACTCTTTAGAGACACCAGAGAGGCATTTTAAAAGGGGGCAGAATCATAGACTGTAAAATATATGGACGTAGTGTCAGTGACGTCACCCATAGGTTTCTAAAGAGCGCAAAAGAAGCCACAAGTAGGCGTGGCCAACCGTCACCATTTTGTTCACGCGTCATCACACCCACGGCGGGATACCAAACAAGGGCAAAGAGGCGGAGAGTGGGCGGAGCTACAGACACCTGCTGGCATTTAGCTTAGACCTGGTTCAGACACACTTTACTTTGGGCGAACGCTTAATACTTCATCACCTGCGACTCGCTTGTATTCTGACCACTTGTGCTTGGTTGTTCACTATATCAATAAAGTGTTTAGACTTTTAAACAAACACTGCTGTAATACACTGAGCCACTAAACATTGTTCTAGTGACGTTTTTCAACAAGAGGAAAACGCGAATTACTTCCAAACACTTCAGATATAGTCTGTGTTAGTTACTGTAAGACTATTGATGAACTCCAGCATAACACTGTATGACAACACTTCAGATGACTGATCTAGAGCCTACAGCTAATCAATCTGACAGATTCTGGAGTGCATTACAGCTCTAAATATAAATATAAATGATCTTAAATAAAACCAATGCATGTATAGAGATGGTATATAAGTCTATAACTTTACTCACATGGGAAACGGAGGCCACGTGAATGGTTTGTGAGCACAATTAAGTGCACTCAGCATGCCATGCCATCTAATAATTGTAGGAAACAAGTCCAAAAGGCAGTTGACTGTGTAAAGCCACATAAAACAACACAGAAATACGATAAATATGCCGAGTTCAGTGGCTAATCTGCAGGATTCAGCTGAGGTGACGTGACGGCGACCAACGAGACCTAGCTGTCACTCAAGTGGCCACGCCCTTAATTATGCAAACTTAATATAAAGGAAACGGATGAGTTATAAAAAAATTCACCCCCTCACAGTTGCCATGAGGGGTAATATTAGCTGTATTAACCTAAATCGTTCTTCGTAGCAGGCTGTAAACACCTCTGCTGTAAATTTGGCCATTCTAACAGTGGACTCAATTGAAATTTGCTCTATTATGGAGCAAGGAGCGGCCAGGACTAGCGGAATTTCGGATGAATTCCTGAGAGAGAGCTGGAGGTCGCCGCTTGGGCAGAATTAAATCCAAGCATTTAAAAACAAAACATCTTATGACTGGTTTTGTGGTCGAGGGTCAGAAATGACCTGCTTTTGGTGTTTGGCTTTACAGTCACTGCTGTCCTCATTAAAGACTGAAAACTCCAGCTGAGCAATACTGCGATCTGAAGACATGAAAACACACGGCAGCCGCTGCAGATGAGGGTCAGGACTGGTGGAAAAGCCCAGCACACTCAGACATTAAAGAGCCACGACCACACTGCTTCAACACACACACACACACACACACTAAAGGACAGGCCTTTCCTCTCCTGACTGCACACACACACACTGCGAAAAGTGCACGCTTAGTCTTGTTTCTAGTGCAAATATCTAAAAACTCTGAAATCAAGAAGCATTTTCTGGACAAGCATTAAATATGTTATTTTCAGAAACTCTCTCAGTGCGCACATAAGAATGGTATCCTTATGATATCTGATCTGATCATTCTGTTATCTTATGATTTGCATATGCCAATAAAAGTCTTCCTGTGTAGTACAGTCATGATAAAATCAGTCTGTGCGATGAGTAAATGCACCACAGCGGCAGGTGTTCTGTCTGTGTGGACTTGTTTACAAACAGAGATGCACCAAATTTACTTCAGTCAATGTTTTAATTCAACTCTTTTTGTGACCAGGCTTGGTTTCTAGTCACCGAATGAGGAAACAACTGAACTACTTTATAGCCTTCTGTACAGTGATGAAAGCGAGGTCAATTAGCATTGCATTTTACACTACCTGACAAAAGTCTTGTCGATTATCAAAGCTTCAGGAACATCAAATAATAATGACTTCTAGTTGATGATTTGGGTTCAGAAGTGGCTTATATTAAAGGTGAAAGCCTCTAGATTACATTTATTTGAGCTCAATAAATCTGATCATGTCTTGATGTTGACTGATTTGATGAGGACAGTGCGGTCTGACTCTGCTCAGACTAAAGTGTCATCACTGAACAGAAATAATGTCCAGTATAGAATATAAAGTCCTGCTGCAGTGGAGACAGAATGAATATTGTGTCTGACTCCATCATGAGCTTGGAGGACTGCATCCATACATCTCTCACATGACTCAAATCACTGATTAATAAACTCATACAGGACTCCCAGAGTTCATCAAGAGTCTTTGTGTTCATCTTCAACACCTCCTGCACCATCTTCACGCAGACATGCTCAATAATGGTGACATCTGGTGACTGGGCTGGCCAGTCCTGGAGCACCTTTGCTTTCAGGAGTTTTGATGTGGAGGCTGCAGTATGAGAAGGAGCGCTATCCTGCTGGAGAATTGTCCCTCTCCTGTCGCCCTGTGGTTCCTCTCCAAATGTCTTGATCCCTCAGGCTGTTGATGTTGATCATCCACTCTGCAGATCTCTCCATACCCCAAACCATGATTTCTCCTTCACCAAACTTGACTGATTTCTATGAGAATCTTGGTCCATGTTGGTTCCAGTAGGTCTTCTGCAGTATTGGTGATGATTGGGATGCAGATCAGCAGAAATCCACCTTCTGCCACGTTAATAAATGATCAACTAGACGTCGAGGTATTATTGTTGCTCTTACAACTGGGATCAACAACAAGACTTGTGGCAGGTAGTGTATACTGTATGTATACCCAGGATATTCAATGAGGTTGGGTTTAGTGTTAGTGTAAATTTAGACATTTATAAAACACAATAGGTTGGACTTCTCAGATAAGGTCTGTCTGAGGTATTGGGCGGGGCTAACACTATTAACCACGCCTCTCCAGCTGTCAGTTCTGACATCGACATGACAACAAACAGAAATGGTGAGCAGGAGGAGTCTAACCCTAACCCAAACCCTGTTCCCCATCTTTCTATAAATCCAATCAGCTCGCAGTAGACAAAAACAAGCCACGCCCACTCATTTAATATTCTGTTTCTCTAGCAACTGCGTCATGATTTTTAAAAAAAACAGTCGCAGCTTCTGGTTCATGCGGACTTTAAATAAATGAAAGCTCCAGCCTACTAGGAGCTGGTTTCCTAACTCTCTGAGGATGAGTGTGTTGATGTGTGTGTGTGTGTGTGTGTGATCATACCTGTGAGGAACTGCTGTGTGTCCATCAGTTTGCAGGTCTGCTCTTTCTCCAGTTTGTTGGGTTTGTCGGCGTACGGAGCGAGCGGTCCCTCCCAGTACACTCTCCCCTGGCACAGGCGTTTGGCGTAGAGTCCGTCAGGGGAGAGCCACAGCAGGACGCCGCGCTCCAGCACGTTGGGGAGTTTCTCTGCACCGCGCCGCTGCGACTGCGGGTACGGGAACGGGAACAGCACTGGCTCAGCCCCGCCGTACAGACGCTCTTCTGACGGAGACGACGGAGACGAAGGAGAGCCTGGAGACGCCGATGAGGAGATCCGACAGCCTTCAGGACTGCTGGTGGTCAGTTCTTTCACCAGAGACTCACGGTAGAAGAGAGAGACGTGGAGCCGGCAGTCTGAGGACACACACACACATCCAGACTGAGAAAAACACACTGGTGCAATATGTAAGGGATAAAGTAGACGTAGTACCACATTACAAACACGAGTTACGTAATAATACTACTTTTCTAAGTAACGAGTAACAATATAATACTCATAATATATAATACTTATTATAATTATATATATAATAATAATATAATAATATAATAATACTTTTTGAAAAAATTGAATGCAAGTTACTTTTTAGTTTAATTAATTTGCTTTTGAAGGCTGAATAATAATTAATGTCTAAGCAGTAATATAATAGTAAAAATAATGTAGTATAAATGACGACAATAATAAACTATTTTCTATAGCGCATTTATATGGTGCTAATAAATAATAATAATGATAATAATAATAATAATAATAGCAAACTTTATTTTCAAAAGCAAATTATATGGTGCTAGTAAATAATAATAATTACAATAATAATAATGATAATAATGATTATGAAAATATTATTATTAATAATAATAATAATAATAATGATAATAATAATGATTATAAAAATATTAATAATAATGAAACTAATGAAAATAATAACAATGATGATAATAATATAATAATAATAAAAATAATGATGATAATAATAATAATAATATTAATAATAAAAATAATGGTAATAATATTTAAAAAAATAATAAAAAAATAATAATAATGATAATATTAATGATTATGAAAATTTTATAATACTGATAATGATAATAATGAAAATAATAATAATAATGATAATAATAATAATGATTATGAAAATATTATTAATAATAAAAATGAAAAAATAATAATGATAATAATAAAGATTATGAAAATGTTAATAATAATAATAATAATAATAATAATAATAATAATAATAATGAAAATAATAATAATAATATTAATGATAATAATACTAATGATTATGAAAATATTAATAATGATAATAATGATAATAATGAAAATAATAATGATAATAATAATAATAATGTTTGTGATAATAATAATAATAATAATAATGAGAATAAAAAATAATAATAATGATGAGAATAATATTAATGATAATAAAATACTAATAATAATAATGATAATAATAATGATGAGAATAATATTAATGATAATAAAATAATAATAATAATAATAATGATAATAATAATATTAATGATAATAATAATAATAAAAACTAATAGTAATGACAATAATCATAATAATAATAAATAATAAAAAACACATTCAGTCATTAGCCTCCCTGTATATATTCCCCCAATTTCTGTTTAATGGAGATAATTAAGATTTCTTCAGCACATTTCTAAACATAATAGTGTTAATAACTCATCTCTAATAACTGATTTATTTTATTTTTGCAATTATGACAGTAAATAATATTAGACTAGATATTCTTCAAGACACTAGGATTCAGCTTGTAGTGAGTGAGGGTAATTAGGCAAGTCATGTGCACTAGCAGAAAACATAGTACATTCTGATCTGATGTGGATTATAAATCTGTGGTTGGTTCACCTGAAATGGCCATGGCTTCAGCCGATCTCATACTAGGATCCATCGCCACCGGGTGACTTTCTGATGGCGAGTATGTGTAGAAAGAGCCTGAAATCTGGTATCCTGAAAAGTGGACAAGAAACGCAATTTTAAAAGGCTGACTTTACCACAGATGACACTCGATTTGGCTGTTCGGCTACAAAAACAGAGCATTTTAAAATCAAAAACTAGCTAAAGAGACGATTCAACATGCGAAAACTCAAAACTGAAGTTTATTTACTAGAACTTTAGGTTATTTTGTTTATTTTTCGTTTATTTGTGAAGTGAAAACAACCAGTGAATTACCAAAAAACACACACACACACACAATTAAAAAGGCTGATTTTAACACAGATGACACTTGATCAGGCTGTTTGGCTCCAAAAACAGACCATTTTGAAATTAGAGATGCACGAAACTGGAAAAATATGCTATTTATATGCATTTAGTCAACGCATGCTCATTCTGAAAACGTAGTACCGTGGATGTATCTGTAGACCGCGAATTACGTAGCCGGAGGAACGTATGCAACCCAAGCTCATTCTGAAAACGTAGTCCCGCAGACGTTTCTGGAGACAGCGGAATACGTCCCGTGCAACCCGTTTGTCCACTCAGCTCACCGTGTACGTCGGCAGGCTCGAGATGCAGAGAGGAGTCGACCACGGCGATCGGTTTCAAGTTCGGGGAAGAGCGGTTCCAGCAATCAGGTAAGACAAAAACAGAATCCCAAAAATTAAGTGAACGAGTTTTGTGACAGGGTGAGAACGCAGTGAAATCCGAAAACGCTGTAGAAAAGAGGCTTTTATTTTTTTTGACATTTTTTAATCATCCGGTCAGTCGGACAGCGGCCTCCGGTGGGTTCACGCGAGAACTGCAGCCGTACGTACCCGCCGGGACGTATTCTGCGGCCTCCAGAAACGTTTCCACTACGTTTCCACAATGAGCCCGGGTTGAACGTATGGCTTCATTAAATTTAATTACATTTTTTTAAGCGAACGATACGTGGCGGTGTGACGCCATTTCTTTTCGTGCTTACCAGCTGACCGCTTATCTCTGTGTGGAGGGCTTTCTAGTCCGCAACTAGTTTGTCCCGTTAGCTCGACATGTACGTCGGACTTGAGATGCAGAGAAGAGTTGACCATGACGATATTGATGAAGTTCGTGTCCAGGGAAGAGCAGGTACAGAAATCAGGTAAGACAAAAACAGAAGCAAACTACGGGCAATTTTAGCCTACCCAATTCACCTGTACCGCATGTGTTTGACTGTGGGGGAGCACCCGGAGGAAACCCACGCGAACGCAAAGAGAACATGCAAACTCAACACAGAAATGCCAACTGAGCCAGCTGAGGTTCAAACCAGTGACCTTCTTGCTGTGAGGCGACAGCACCACTGCGTGCCATAAACTCCTCTTCTATATGGTAAACATTATGTATACCCGCTCTTGTTATTTGTTTTGTTTTTCTTCTTTCTCTCCTTCTTTTTTTGTTACCTTGTTTACAGGTTATGCTAAAATGTGTAATATTGTAAGACTTGTTATGCATTTGACTGGAAATGTTCAGCAAAAACAATAAAAAAAGAAGCACACATGCACACCTGACCAGCACTGACAACACAGCTAAAACTGCTGTCTTTAACCTGCCACTATGCTGATGCATAGGCAAAAGTGGCTCCGCCCTCTTTTAAAAAGAGCACAATCTCATTTGCATTTAAAGCGACCGAAATGCCACAATTAGGATCAAAGCCTGAAAGGGTCAGTTTCAGAGAGCTGGAGGACATTATTAGTGTGTTATTTTGAGCTGAAGCTTCACTACACACTCTAGAGACAGCAGAGACTCCTTTAAAACAAATACACACTAATGTACACTGCACCTCAGTCTTTTTAAGACCACGCAGGCTTTAAACATTCTGCAAACATGTAAACGCCATGAGGTAAGTAACACCTTCAGCGCATAATAACCACCTTTAGCAGGTAATAAAGCATCTCTGAGCGGGAAGGGTCAGTGTAGAGTGAGAAGTGGCATTAATAACCGAATATGAATACATGCAGTGTGCCATTAAAATGGATTTCCTGTTTCCTTTATTAAATGCTCTTCGCTCTGATAAACCTTCAGCTCAATCATTACAGGAACAAGCCATCGAGCGCGAGCATTTGCACCAAGAATAGACAATAACTTCTCTGAAAATGTGCTTAACACTGGTGTGTGTGTGTGATGACTGCGAATGGGTGTTTGTCAGCAGATATGAGTAGTGATGGATTAATCCGGATTACGTAATCAGAATACAAACATAAAGTACATTACGTAAAAATTAATTCATCAGGGGTCGCCACAGCGGAATGAACTGCCAATGATTCCAGCATATATTTTACACAGCGGATGCCCTACTGGCCCTTCTTGGGGTTGGAACTAAAATATGCAGGACAGCGACCCACCAGGACCGAGTTTGTACACCCCTGGCCTAAATGGATCAACGATTTTATTCACAACGCCTCATACTTCAGTTTCTCACCAAATCTTCTATCCAATCAAATGCTCTCTAGTGTCTGACATGCCCCACCCCCTTCTTCTCATTGGCTGTTCATTTGATGTGCTTAAGCTCAACCACTCTCACTGGCAGAGCTGTGAGGAAACAAAACACTATTGGCTGTTTTTTTAAAGGGGGAGGAGCTACTATATGCCCCGCCCTCTCTTAGTGTTTCAGTTGAGATTTCGACAAACATCAAATAAAAAATGCACAATTCAAAGCACTTCATGGGAAATTTACGACTTTTCAAGACCCCGCGGACACTGCGTGTAGAAACTACATACATGCCGATTTTCCTATGTTTTGCTGAGAGATCATTTATAATATTAATGCATCGTTGTTATAAACTTCTTAAAGATATCCGTGAAGGAATGATGCAAAGGGTGCGCACACTGGTTGGTTAACCTGTCAGTGATTTAACATTGTGGGCGGGGCTTGACAATTAAAAGCACCAAAGCTTCCAGACCTTCAGCCATCAGTCTGAGCTCTGGCTACCTGAGACTACGTCACATGAAAACAATCAATGGACAAGATCTGAGGATGATGATGTTGTTGTGTGGCCGTACCATTATCGCAGGGTGCTGTGTGCCAGGGCAGCGAGCGGGATGGTGGATACGGACACTGGCCGTATGGTAAATCAGCGTGAGGCGTCTGTGTGTGCGGTGGATCTGAGCCGAATTCCCTCCAGTCTCGCCTCTCCTGAGGAAGCATGAAGCCCGACATCTGCAGACAAACACAGATAATCACATTAGCATTAGAAGTATCACTACTGCTACTGAATTGCTTTGATTTTGGCCATTGAGCAGATGCTTTTATTCGAAATCAATTGATCACCATGTCCTAACTACTCTTCCTAGTCCAAGATTTAGAGGTACTGAGAATTACGAGTTGATTTCAAAACGATTCAATTTCTTGATTCTGAGGCATTGACAATCCAAAATATTCCTAAAAGTGGATTCTGAGGTGTTGAGAATCTAGAACTGTTTATGAAAAGAATCAATTTCTTGATTCTGAGGCACTAAGAATAACGAGTCAATTCCAAATAGAATTGATTCTTTAATTCTTCGGCATTGAGTATCTAGACTCGTTTCCAAAAAGATTCAATTCCTTGATTCTGAGGCATTGAGAATTGAGTGTTGATTCCAAAAATAATTGATTACTTGATTCTGAGGCATTAAAAATCAGAAGTCACTTCCAAAAAGATTTAATTTCTTGACTCTTAGGCAACTTATTCCAAGGCACTGAGATAAAGAAGCAATTCCTTGATTCTGAGGCATTGAGAATCAGAAGTCGCTTCTAAAAAGAATCAATTCCTTATTTCTGAAGCATTAAGAATCCAGAGTTTCTGGATTCTTAATTTAAAAAAAAAATTTAATTCCTTGATTCTGAGGCATTGAGAATCGAGAGTTGATTCCAAAATGAGTCAATTCCTTGACTCTAAGGCATTGATAATCAAGAGTCAATTCCAATAAGAACTTATTCCAAGGTGTTGAGAATCGAGAGTTGATTCTAAAAGGAATTGATTCCTTGATTCTGAGACATTGAGAATCGAGTCAATTCAAAGTAGAATTAATTCTGTGGTGTTAAAAATCTAGACTGTTTTCAAAAAGATTTGATTTCTTGATTCTGAGGCATTGAGAATCTAGAATCGTTTCCAAAACAGATTCAAGTTCTTGATTCAGAGGTGTCAGAATCTAGAATTGTTTCTAAAAAGAATTGATTCCTTGATTCTGAGGCATTGCGACTTGAGAGTTGATTTTAAGTGAATTGATTCATTGATACTGAGGGGTGGAGAATATAGAGACAATTCAAAAAGAACTTATTCCGAGTTGTTAACAATCTAGAATCCTTTCTAAAAAGAATCAATTTCTTGGTTAAGAGGTGTTGAGAATAGAGTCGATTGCAAAAAGAATCGAGTTCTTTATTCCGAGGCATTAAGAATTGAGAGTTGATTCCAAAAAAGAATTGATTCTTCGATACAGAGGCATTGAGAACTGAGAGTCAATTCCAAAAAGAATCAATTCCTTGATTCTGAGGTGTTGAGAATCAAGAGTCAATTTTAAAAAGAAATTATTCCAAGGTGTTGAGAACTGTATTGAATCATTTCCAAAAAGAATCAATTTCTTGTTTCTGAGCCATTTAGAATTGAGAATCGATTCCAAAAAGAACCAGTTCCAAAGTATTGACAATGTATGTAAAACCCAACACCAGCCGATTTGCCAATATTTTTGCTTTGGGTTTTCTTATAAATAACCGTTTTTATTTAAGATGCTTTCTAATTTTATAAACTCACTTTTGTCAATTTTTTTGATGCTGACACCAGAATAAGTCATTTCATCCAGCTGTAGTGCTAAATGAACATGGAGTACAGAGAAATGAATTCTGTTGAAAAGTGAAGTGTCTTACCTGCGGCTGTAGAGCTGGGTAAGCAGAATGCATTGGATAACTAAGAGGAGTCACGTGTGTCGTGTTTTCTTCCATACTGATGGCCTTAGAGCCTAAAAATACAGAAAAACAACAACATCTATTCATATTCATTGAAATGACATCTTTTAGGGACAACTTAATTGTTTTATGTTCAATTCACTTAATGATAATAACAATGAAATGACAGAAGGTGAAAGTGCTGAACTACTGAAATCAGTTTAATACTTTATATCAAGCCTTTCTTTTAATGATGGCAGTGTAGAGACGCCTCTCACGTGGAGAATAAAGTCATGCAGTGCTCAGGTGTGAGATTCTCACAGACTTCAACAGAGTGTCAAAGTCTTGATGCTTCTGTGGGTTTCGTCTATCAGATCTGAGCTTGCATTTATATTCTCCATTGGATTCGGTTCAGGTGATTGGCTGGGACATTCTACAGCTTGATTTTCTTTCTTTGAAAGCATCTGAGAGTCTCCTTGGCTGTGTTTTGGATCATTGTCCAGCTAAAGTGTCCACCCTGGTTTCATCTTTATCCTCTTGCTAGTGTTAGCATCTCATATTTACTGCATTTACGCTGAGGAAGGGCAGAGGGTTGCTGAAGAACTCCTGAGAGATTTCAGCTGCTGTCTGGGCTTCCACTGACTTTCTACACCTTCCTTACTTCATGTGTTCAATACTTTTTCCCTGCGTCATTTCATTTTATCACACATAACTTCATTTGTAAACTAAATAGATTTGTTTTCTTTGCATATATGGATTTCTTTGCTTGCTATCAATATCTCGGGGACATTTTCAAGCCAACAGCACCTTTAGAAAGATGTGTTCTGAGGAAAATGGTGACGTGTTCAATACTTATTTCCCCCACTGTATGTATATATGTGTATTTATATATATATATATATATATATATATATATATATATATATATATATATATAAACACAGTGTATACTTTTATTTTCAATGTGTATATTTACGAAAACCTTCTCACACTCATTTATAGCTCAGATCGTGGCATTACTATGCAGGTGATTCACGAGCTCTAAGAATAGCAACTATATTAAGGTGTGAATCAACTTTTTCTCACATCAGCGAAATTCTGCAAAGCACTCGAAACCTTCAGGGTCAAAGCAGAGCTCTGATGGTCCCGACCCAACATCTTAAGCGTTATGCAAGCTCTGAGGGGCAACTCGTGCTGTTCGTTGCTTTGCACTTAGTAACCGAAGCTCTCTATAAAAAGCTTGCAGTGGCTTCCTCTTAGCTTCCTGCTTCATTTACTGAGGGCAAGAAGCAATATTAAATGTGAACACAGAGCATGCCTTCATCTTCAAGTGCTTTCTGAGCAACACACATTCAAAAAAAAAAGGGTTGCTGTATGTTAACCCAACTGTTAAGGGCTGAAAATATATGGTTTGAGCATCAATATTGCAATGTGTGTATCTGCAATAATCGCATCACAGAACTGGATTATTTATTAAGGATTAAATTATTATTATTATAATTATTATTTACACAATGATGAGCATGTTATTTTACATTTTATTGCTCAATTTGTGTACTTAAATACTGTTACTCTATAATTGCATACTGTTAATATAATTTTTGCTAGTAATTTATTATAATTTATGCAGATGCACCGTATCGAAATCATCCCAGTCGATCTAAATGAATGAAATCTTTCCAAATAGAGCTGTTAAAATCATCTGGTGAAATTAGGTTCATATTCCCTTCATATATTGTGGCAAAACAAAATATTAAACCGTCAGATTTTGTCAATATCCAAAAAAAAAACATCAGATTTTGCCAAAATCTGAAGCACCGCTGAAAGCCTCCATTATCCAGGTTCAGTTTCTGGAGGAGTTTCTGAACTCACAGAGCTGCTGCGCCTCTGAAAGCATCTAGTGGACTCAGACACAGCGCCGAGTGAAACTACGCTGTATTTCAGCCTTCCTAAAGCTCATAAAGCACAGCTATTCTCCCAATAAAATCCATGTTAGCCATTTAGCAATAAAGCTAGAGTCGCCGGGCAGACAGAAGCCCTGCGCATGATGGGAATCCGTGTCTATTTGAAGTGAATTTGATGAACGAATGAAGCGAGTACACTCAAAATCATGCATCTATTACTGAAAGTATAGCGTGGTTTATTCACACAAGTTGCATCTGGTGTGAATCCAGTATTAAGATAGGACAATCTGAGACTTGTACACAATAACTAAATATTGAGGAATGTTCCTTTAAAGTTGTCTAAATTAAGTTCACAGCAATGCACATACCTGATAAAGAACACATTTTGATATATTTACAGTGGGAAATGTGCAAAACATCTTTACTTAAACACAAAAACGCGGATAATGGTGACTAATTTGGACAGGTTGGGTTAATTTGGTTAATTACATTTATCTTCATATAATCATTCATTTTTCTTCGACTTATTCCCTTATTTATCAGGGGTTGCTACAGCGGAATGAACCGCTAACTTATCCAGCATAAGTTTTATACAGCGGATGGCCTTCCAGCTGCAACCCAGTACTGGGAAAAACACACACACTCATACACTATGGAAAATTTAATTAATCAATTCCCCTATAGTGCATGTGTTTGGACAACAGGGGAAACGGGAGCACCCAGAGGAAACCCATGCCAACACAGGGAGAACATGCAAACTCCACACAGAAACACAAACTGACCCAGCCTGGACTCAAACCAGTAACCTACTTGCTGTGAGGCCACAGTGCGACTCCACTAAGCCATAACATCTAATAATCTAACAATTTTGGCTTAAATCATTTTGACTCCTACAATGTATTTATGCCTGTTGCCAAATATATACTCATGAAACTTCACATTGGTTTTGTGGTCCAGGGTCACATTTATGTGTTACACTTTAAAAAACACTGGGTTGTCTTACCCTAATGATGGGTCAAATATGCACTGATGTACTGATGGGTAAAAAAGTTAAAAAGTTCACGTAAACTGGAAGTTCCTGAGACTTTTATTTCAGTATGTTGATGTACATCCAGCTGAAACTGAATATTGAGTAGGGGGCGGGGCTTTATTTCAGAATGTTGATGTACATCCAGCTGAAACTTAATATGGAGTAGGGGATGGGGCTTTATTTCAGTATGTTGATGTACATCCAGCTGAAACTGAATATTGAGTAGGGGGTGGGGCTTTATTTCAGAATGTTGATGTACATCCAGCTGAAACTGAATATTGAGTAGGGGGTGGGGCTTTATTTCAGAATGTTGATGTACATCCAGCTGAAACTGAATATTGAGTAGGGGGCGGGGCTTTATTTCAGTATGTTGATGTACATCCTGCTGAAACTGAATATTGAGTAGGGGGTGGGGCTTTATTTCATAATGTTGATGTACATCCAGCTGAAACTGAATATTGAGTAGGGGGTGGGGCTTTATTTCAGAATGTTGATGTACATCCAGCTGAAACTGAATATTGAGTAGGGGGCGGGGCTTTATTTCAGAATGTTGATGTACATCCAGCTGAAACTGAATATTGAGTAGGGGGTGGGGCTTTATTTCAGAATGTTGATGTACATCCAGCTGAAACTGAATATTGAGTAGGGGGCGGGGCTTTATTTCAGAATGTTGATGTACATCCAGCTGAAACTGAATATTAAGTAGGGGGTGGGGCTTTAATTCAGTATGTTGATGTACATCCAGCTGAAACTGAATATTGAGTAGGGGGTGGGGCTTTAATTCAGTATGTTGATGTACATCCAGCTGAAACTGAATATTGAGTAGGGGCGGGGCTTCATTACAGAATGCTGATGTACTTCTAACCGAAACTGAATATTGAGTAGGGGGTGGAGCTTTCTTTTGAACATCATTCCCTCATAGCAAACTAACAGTAACAAGGTTAGGAACATTGGGTTAAAGTTAAGAGTGTAGAAAGAAGAAAAGTTCCTTCATCTGATGTATGCAATTACACATTTAATTGACAGCATTAACCCAACATTGGGTTTGTCCATGTTTGACCCAACATTTGGTTAAAACAACCCAGCATAGAGTGTAGAAACAAGAAAAGCGCCAACAAACCTTCGACTGATGCATGAAATATATGAAAGCACATTTAATTGACCGCAATAACGCAACAATAGGTTTGTCCATACCCAACAACATTGAGTTAAAGTTTCGTTTAGAGTGTAGAAAGGAGTAAAGCTCCAACAAACCTTCGACTGATGCATGCAGTATATGAAAGCGCATTTAATTGACAGCATTAACCCAAAATTGGGTTTGTCCATAAACAAGGTTGGGTTAAAACATTCTTGGGTTAAAGTTGAGTTAAGAGTGTAGAAAAAGTTAAGCTCCAACAATCATTCTACTAATGCATGCAATATATTAAAACAAGTTTAACTGACATTATTAACCCAACATTGGGGTTGTCCATACCCAACATTAGGTTAAAATAATGTTGGGTTAAAATAATGTTGGGTTAAAGTTGAGTTTAGATTGTAGGTACCAGTCAAGCTCCAACAAACCTTTGACTGATGCATGCAACACATCAAAACACATTTAATTGACATTATTAATCAAACATTGGGGTTGTGGATACCAAACGTTGGGTTAAAACAATTTGGGGTTAAAACAATGTTGGGTTAAAGTTGTGTTTAAAGTGTAGAGACCAGTCAAGCTTCAACAAACCTTCGACTGATGCATGCAACACATCAAAACACATTTAATTGACATTATTAACCAAACATTGGGGTTGTGGATACCAAACGTTGAGTTAAAAAAATGTTGGGTTAAAGTTGAGTTTAGAGTGTAGGAACCAGTCAAGCTCCAACAAACCTTCGACCGATGCATGCAATATATTAAAACAAGTTTAACTGACAGTATTAACCCAACATTGCTTATCAATATTTGACACGATGTTGAGTTGAAACAACCCATCACTTTAGAGTGTAGGAACCAGTCAAGCTCCAACAAACCTTCTACTTATGCATGCAATATGTTAAAGCACCTTTAGTTGACAGCATTAGCTGAACGTTGGGTTAAAACGCATTTCAGCCACTCATATTTCTCAGAGAACAGATAACCCATCATGCCAGAGTGTGGTTTACCTCTCTTTGCTCCCTCGGGCACGATCCTGTAGACTTTGTATGGATCTGAGATGTCCAGCTGGCTCCGCTCCACCAGCTCATCGAAGTCATTGCTCTTGTTCAGGGCGCAGCGCAGTCTGGTCTTCCACGTCGGAGGGTCTGGTTTGTCCAGTCCTTCCCTGTATTTGCCCTTAAATAAAGCCCAGGCCTGCAGTCGTCAAGAGCAGGACAGAAGAAGAGTCAGACCAAGAGAATGAAGAACTTTCTACCAAATAAGAGAACAGGTACTTTCACACTGAAGTGTAACCAAACATGTCAACAACAGTGTAGGCAAGATATTCCTAATGCAAAGTGAAAACAAGAGAGTTTGCTTACACCACAGGCAGATTATTTAGCCTGTTTTAGGGGAAAACTCACGTCAATATTTCTAAAAACAACACAATACTTGTGCTTGTCTAGAGATTGCGTCTTGATGTAATAATTTGTAGACATCTGGACTAGAAATAAAACTCATTTTACTCAGTGTTGTGCAGTGTAGGCTTTCAGACAATAACAGTTCTGGCTCCCGAAATAATGTTCAGGCGAACAGTTTCTAATATTTAAAAAAAAAAATTTGTTTAAAACGTGTAATGCCTAGGCGGCACGTTGGCTCAGTGGTTAGCACAGAAAGAAGGCCACTGGTTCGAGTCCTGGCTGGGCCAGTTGGCATTTCTGTGTGGAGTTTGCATGTTCTCTCTGCAGGGCTTGAAATGAACCTTTTTGCTTGGTTAGCACCGGTGCTCTTAACTTTAAAAATGTAGGCGCATCAGCCAAAATTTAGTCGCACCCACCAATTATAAGCATCGTTACTACAAGTTTTATACAAACATATGTATAGCATTTGAAATCAACACTAATCAAACTAACAAGCAAAAACATATATATATATGTATGTGTGAGGAAAATATGTCTCAACGAAATCCCGTTATCACAAGAAAATAGATTTTTATAACATAACTGAGTGAGCAAAACATACACGGAGCGCTCACCGGCCCTGCACACACTGCTGGACATGAATGAATCTGTTAACGTTATAAGTGTGCTGTTCTCACGGGTGCTGTCTGATATTGCACTGATGCTTTTGACACATACTGTACCTTATTATATGCGTACGTCATGTTAATAGCAATACTTTTTAATGAGTAGTGATATTAGTTTACTCAGTGTAAGCCCGTTTCTGATGGTGTACGTGGTGTTCAGTTTTACATATAGCTGCCACTTGCACGGCGGACAGCATCTGGCGATTATATGAAGGATTAAACTGAAGCTCTCGTGCTAGATGTGGCAAACAGTTACCTGAAAACTCCACCCCACAGCGGACTTGAAGCCAGTGGAAGTCTTTTATCCAGTTTTGGAAAAGTGTAGATGGTGGATTAACATTCAGCACATGGTCACTAGTAAGATGTGTCATTATTTATAACTTTAGATGTCATGGTTTCTAAAACTAAATCTGTCAGTGTTCTTCATTCTCATCTTCAGCGCTTTACAGTTTCGCGGTAGTAGCTCTCTCTGTCATCCCAAGCCAGAAGGCATTGACTGAGTGATTGACAGCTGATATTTCAGTGCAAGAGCAGTGGTGGACCAATAAGAAAAGCGCGAAGGCGGCGGGGCAAGCATTACGGACTTGGCTTTGTTTACTGCAGCAAGTCGACATGACAACTGTTTTAAACCATTCCTGAGCGCTGCGCTTCGCGTTTCAAGTGCAGAGATGCATTCTGCGTGAATGTCTCCCGAATCCGCGCATGTGCTGAACATTTTGCTGTAAAAACTGGTCGCACACAACAATTTTAAGCTCTCGCAGAAATGCTCCCAAATATATTTTGAGGTCACATAAATAAAATTTTAGGCGCATATGCGACCAAAATGGTCGCAATTTCCAGCCCTGCTCCGTGTTGGCGTGGGTTTCCTCCGGGTGCTCAGGTTTCCCCCACAGTCCGCTATAGGGGAACTGAACAACTAAATCGCAAATTCCAATTTATGTGGACTTTAAGTTAAAATGACACTTTTAACCCAACAGTTGGGTTAGTCCACATTTGACCCATCGCTAAGTTAAGACAATCCAGCATTTTTATAGTCTGACACATAAATGTGACCCTAAACCACAAAACCAATGTGAAGTTGCATGAGTATATATATTTGGCAATAGCCATAAATACATGTAGGGGGTAAACTGATTTAAGCCAAAAATTATTAGATTGTTAGATTTTATGGCTCAGTGCAGTCACACTGTTGCCTCAAAGCAAGAAGGTTGCTGGTTTGAGCCTCGGCTGGGTCAGTTGGTGTTTCTGTGTGGAGTTTCAGGGTTTCTGCAGATATCATAATGTCAAACTTAAGACTTTGTAAGACTTTTAAATATTCAATTTAAGACCTACAGTTGAAGTCAGAATTATTCGCCCCATTTTGAATTTTCTTTTCTTTTTTTTTTAATATTTCCCAAATGATGTTGAACAGATTCAGGAAATTCTCACAGTGTGTCTCATAATATTTTTTCCTCTAGAGAAAGTCTTATTTGTTTTATTTCGGCTAGAATAAAAGCAGTTATTAATTTTTAAAGAAACATTTTAGGGACAATATTATTAGCCCCTTTAAGCTATATTCTTCGATAGTCTACAGAATAAGCCATCGTTATACAATAACTTGCCTGATTAACCTGCCTAGTTAACCTGATTACCCTAGTTAAGCCTTTAAATGTCACTTTAAGCTGTAAATAAAATAGCCCATAGATGGGAAAGTGCTATAATAACCTATAGCTGGGTTATATGTTGGATTATTTTTAACCTTACTATTTTAACAGAGTAACCTTCACTTTAAAGAAGCATATTGTGGAATTTATTTGCCCTCCTTTCCTCCATTTATCAAATATTTCCCAAGTGCTGTTCTAGTCAGAATAGCTTTAATAACTCATTTCTTTTCTCTTTGCCATGATGACAGCACATTATATTAATTTAAGACACTAGTATTCAGCTTACAGTGACATGTAAAGGCTTCACTAGGGTAATTAGGGTAAAGTTAGGGTAATTAGGCAAGTCATTGTATAACAGTGGTTTGTTCTGCAGACTAATATTGCTTAAGGGGGCTAAAAATATTGACCTTAAAATGAGTTTAAAACAATTAAATTCAAGCTGAAATAAAACAAATAAGACTTTCTCCAGAAGAGCAAAATATTATTGAAAAATAGCCGTGCTCCATTGAATATCACTTGAGAAATGTTTCACCGGAGAGCTAATAATTTCGCCCTCAATTGTATATTTGGAGTAATATAAAGATTATATTAAAAGAGAATCTCTATATACATTTTTTAAAGCATATAATTCCTGTACATTTATAAAGTTGAACCAAACTTTATTTGGACCCTCAAGCTACTTACAGGAACGTGAAAGTCATCATGGCATCAGATAACAAGATATCAAACCACGTGGCTGCAAACAAACAAGTTTTTCTAGGAATGATCTTTTTTTTCAATGATCATTTTAGTTTGAAAGAGAGAGACGGCGTTTACTGATGTCCTGACATTTATCCTACCTATCAGATGATGTTACCAACACTGTATTCAAATGGTTCTGAGGTTGCGGATACAGTGTTTAGGTTAGGTTAGGGCGATATTATGTACTGCTTCATATCCCACTACTCATTCATTCATTTACTTAGTTCCTTTATTAGTCAGGGGTCGCCACAGCGGAATGAACCGCCAACTTATCCAGCATGTTTTATGCAGAGGATACCCTCCAGCTGCAACCCATTACTGGGAAACACCCATACACACTCAATCACACGCATACACTCAGCCAATTTAGCTTACCCAATTCACCTATAGCGCATGTGTTTGGACTGTGGGGGAAACCGGAGCACAAGGAGGAAACCCACGCCAACATGGGGAGAACTTGCAAACTCCACACAGAAAACTGACCTGGCTGGGGATTGAACCAGCGACCTTCTAGCAGTGCTACCCACTGCGCCACCATATTGTCTACTCCACATTAAAATTTACACTGGTAGTAAAATCTAATAGGTAGCATACTGCATCATCAAAGTGTGCTGCCTACTTTTTGAATGGGACAATCTGACAAGATATGACAAATGGACAGAACAGCAGACGTCATCTGTTTCCCCATCACATTAAAGGGATAGTTCACACCAGAACAGAAAACTTACTTAATATTTAAGAGTTTCACTTTTCTGTTAAGCACAAAAGAAACACCAGTGACTTTCATAGTAGGAAAAAAACAACAAATACAACAGAAGTCGATGGTTTTCCAACATGTAAATATCTTTTGTGTGTGTTCAACAGAAAAGCGAAACTCAAACAGGTGTTATAAATGAAGATTGAGTAAATAAATGACAGAATTGTCGTTTCTGTGTGAACTAACCCTTAGAATAACTTACATTATCCACCTGCAACCACTTCGCTCTTCATTTTTAAGAGTAAAAACACAAGAGATTTGTGAAGACACTGAAGAATTGAACTGTAATAGAGTGAAATGTGACGTCTACTTGTGTTTTTAAGGCCTATGAACATTTGAAGAGAGATTTATATTAGCACATAAAGATGCTTAATAAGGATTAATGTAAGTAAATAATAAATATGATCAAGACTATGCCATGTTATTTTACATTTGGTTATTGCATTTCTGTAACCAAACACTGTCAGACTCCCCAGAAAGTATGTGTTTATTTCACTGTAATATTTGCTCAATTACGTTTATTTATGACTGTACATAATATATATGTACAGTATATATATATATATATATATATATATATATATATATATATATATATATATATATATATATATATATATATATATATAGTTGATATCAGACTTATTTGCCCCCCTTTTATTTTTTTTTAAAATATTTCCTAAATAATGTTTAACAGAGCAAGGAAATTTTCACAGTATGTCTCATAATATTTTTTCTCCTGGAGAAAGTCTTATTTGTTTTATTTTGGCTAGAATAAAAACAGTTTTAAATTTTTATATAATTTATGATCAATATTATTATTCCCTTTAAGCTATGTTTTGACTTTCAACAGAATAATTCATAATTATACAATAGCTTGCCTTATTACCCTAACTTGCCTTGGTAATCTAATTAACCTAGTGAAGCCTTTAAATGTCACTTTAAGCTGTATAGAAGTGTCTGGAGGAATATCTAGTCTAATCTTATTTACTGTCATCATGGCAAAGATGAAATAAATCAGTTATTAGAGATGAGTTATTAAAACTATTATGATTAGAAATGTGTTTAGAAACAATCTGCTCTCCATTAAACAGAAATTGGTGGAAAATAAACAGGGGGGCTGATAAATCAGACTTCAGCTATATATAGAATTGTCATATTTGGGTGAACTATCTCTTTAACTACAATTATTATCCACCTGCAACCACTTCTCTCTTTGTTTTTCCCACTGAATCTGATCGTTTAATAAAGATAAACACTAACAACTGTCAGTTTGTGAATCTTTTTGACTGAAAATTAATTATATTATTGAGAAAAATGCTGATTCGTATCTCAATATTCGGTTAATTTGTTATTCAAATATAAACAGTCATCCATGTTTGATCCAACATTGGCTTTAAACAACCCAGTATAACTCTAATCGTGTTTATGTAGACTGTATTTTAAATATTACCTATAATAAATAGTTTCTAAGTGTGATTATATTCACATAAACATCCAGTGCTCAACAATAAGGACTGCCCAGTGGCCCGGGGCCAGCGTGAAAGATGCTCGGGACAGTAGACAGGATTGTCACTGGCCCCTATCGGCCAGTAACAATGAGCATGTTATTATTTTTTTTTGTAATCTGGTACAAAATTAAAAAAAAGAAGAAAAAAAAAGAAAAAAAAAAGAGTTGTCGTAAATTCGGCATACCATTTTTATAAAAATAATTTAGAATTGCAATAAAATACCAGCACATTTTCTATACTGCTCTTTCATTTGCATAAAATCTTGAATTTTGCTCATTATACATTTATTAACATTTTTTTAAATATTTAAATTCTAGATTCACAGACATTATTTTGCCACATTATTTAAAATATGTGGCTAAGAAATAGGTATTAACTTTTTTTTTTTTTTTTGGTGGGGCCAGTGAAAACTTTGGTAGGGCAAGTAAAAATCTCAACCACTAGCCTGATCGGCCCAGTAGAAAAAATTCTTAGTGTTGAACCCTGACATCAATAATCACACTGAAAGAGTGGCGTCCTCATTGCGGTTGTAGAATGATAACAATTTAAACTTGCTATTTCTGAAGTATTTTCTTTTCTATGACAGTTTTTATCATAACAAAACTATTTGAGCTGGAGGTTTGATTGGGCTGAGGACAAGGACACCGACAGGGTTTGTACATTTGTAGTGTTTTTAATAAAGAAATGAACCTGAGAATATTCCAACCCACAGAAATCAACCATCAGCCCATTTTAGAAATTTTAGGGATGAAACGCTTTTTATTCACTGTATTTGTTTTTATTTCAGGGATAATGTATGTTTCTGGTAGAATATCCCACAAATGAATTGTCATTTTAGGGTGAACTAACCCTTTAAGACAACCATCCTCCACCTGTAACCGCTTCTCTTTTCATTTTTAACACTGAATCTTATTGTTTAATAAAGATAAACACCAACAACAGTCGGTTTGTGAATCTTTTTGACAAGAAAATGCTTATATTGTTTAGAAAAATGCTGATTCGTAACTCAATATTCGGTTAATTCGTTATTCAACGGTCATTCATATTTGATCCAACATTGGCTAAAAACAACCCAGTATAACCATAATCAAGTTTAAAATAGTTATGTAGACAGTGTTTTGAGTTTCAAATATAGTAAATAGTTTCTGAGGCGTGATTATACTCAGATAAACATCATTAATCACCTTGAAGAGAGCGGCGTCCTCATCGCGGTTGTAGTCCTGTTTTCCCGCGTGTTTCCATGGAATCCTGAAAATGGTTTTCTCGTCATTTTCCCAAACCAATCCGGAATACTCCCCGCTGTCAATCTGCTCGATGAGCCACTGTCTAAGTTTGCCATTCCCACAACTGACTGACATGATGCAGTCCCCATCTAAGTTCATGTCTGTGCGGAGCAGGTGCACATGCAGAAAGCAGATGAGTGCGTGCATGCAAAATAATACTCAATAATAATCACAATCATAACACAAGTGAGACGAGCAGATGAAGAGGCAACTAAAAACAATAAAGTGTGCATGCGTTTAATAGGCTACATTAAAAGCAAATTAATCTAAAACATGTCTAAAAGCGTGCGTTATGCAAATTATATCACATCGTGTAGCGCATTAATACACAACACAGATGTTTGTTCTGATTAAAATAAAGTCTTACCTTAGTGAATGCAATGCAGCTCGACTTGACTTTGAAAACAGACTCTTCTCAAGTCAAAGTACTTAAATGATGTAGGTGGAGATGGGTGGAGCTTTACGTGGAAGAGATTTTCTCCAGCAGCATTAAAGATCCGGAGACTTCAGAGAAACGCGGCAGAACCGCAATAAACAGACAGCATGCGGGAAATCCCTCCGCTCAGCAAACACGCACACGGTGGAACAAATATATGTCGATAAAGTGTGCCAGAAAATCTCCCAGCGCTAGTCATCATTTATCCTGGCGTTTGATGTTTGTTTTGTCACGGAACAACACCGGGAACTCCTCTGAGAGACAGAGAGTTAACGTTAGTCCCGGTAAGAGATGCTGCTGTCGGTAAACGGCCGCTTTTATGTCCGCGTTTCGATGATTTACTGATAATAAGGTTGTTGTTTTTTACACTGAAATAATGTGAATGTATAATATCTTAAATAGAAACTCATCATTTGTCATCATGCTAAATTAAAAGATGTTACCACTCAAGTGTTTCAAGAACAAAAACAAGTGTCGAATGTGCTTCCACCTGCCGTCTGACTGAGAAACTACACATTAAAATAGTCCCTGGGTATTTATAACTACATTCCGGTAAATTAACTCTGTTCCAGCAAATGATCCTCAGTCTGGAAATGCTGGGTTGTCGTGGTTGTAACCCAGAATTGGGTCAAATATGGAAAAGATTTTTATTTATTTTATTTGTCGGCTGCACATCCATGATGCCAATCTCCCGTTCCACCACATCCCAAAGCTGCTTTATTGGATTGAGCTCTGGTGTCTGTGGAGGCCATTTGAGTACAGTGAACTCATTTTGATGTTCAGCAGTCTGAGATGATTGAGCTTTATGACATGCTGCGTTATCCTGCTGGAAGTAGCCATCAGAAGATGGAGACACTGTGCTCATAAAGGGATGGACATGGTCAGCAGCAATACTAGACTGTAGACTGTGCCACTGACACAATGCTCAATTGGTACTAATGAACCCAAAATGTGCCAAGAAAATCTCCCCCACACCATTACACCACCACCACCAGCCTGAACCGCTGATACAAGGCAGGATGATCCATGCTTTCATGTTGTTGAGGGCGAGTTGTGAGTCGAGCATCTGAATGTGTGAGCAGAAATGGAGACTCATCAGAGCAGCAACGTTTCTCCAATCTTCTATTGTCCAGTTTTGGTGAGTCTGTGTGAATTGTAGCCTCAGTTTCCTGTTCTTAGCTGACAGGAGCGGCACCCGGTGTGCTCTTCTGCTGCTGTAGCCCATCCGCCTCAAGGTTGGACGTGTTGTGTGTTCAGAGATGCTCTTCTGCAGAGCTCGGTTGTAACGAGTGCTTATTTGAGTTACTGTTGCCTTTCTATCAGCTGGAACCAGTCTGGCCATTCTCCTCTGACCTCTGGCCTCATCAACAAGGCATTTGCGCCCACAGAACTGCCGCTCACTGGATATTTCCTCTTTGTCGGAGCATTCTCTGTAAACCCTAGAGATGGTTGTGCGTGAAAATCCCAGTAGATCAGCAGTTTCTGAAATACTCAGAGCAGCCCGTCTGGCAGCAACAACCATGCCACATTCAAAGTCTCTTAAATCCCCTTTCTTCCTCATTCTGATGCTCGCTCTGAACTGCAGCAGATCCTCTTGACCATGTCTACACGCCTATAAGTAGTGAGCTGCAGCCATGTGATTGGCTGATTAGAAATTTGTGATTACGAGCAGTAGGACAGGTGTACCTAATAAAGTGGCCAGTGAGTGTACATTTCATATAACATGTGATTTAACATAGATTATATTTAATAAATGAGTCTGTTTAATGTATAAAACATTGTGTCGTTTCAGGCTTATTTGGATTAAAATGCTCTATTCATAAACATATCTTTATTTATTTAGAAATGCTTTGGAGTGTGTAGTGAGTTTAGCTGAATTAACAATCAACGGCAGAACAGAAATATCTCTGTGGTTTCATTAAAAATATATTATTTGTCATCCAAAGATGAATTAAACAACATGCTGCTTAATAAACGATGAACATTTAATACAAACAGTCAGTATAAATCCTTTTATAATAACACACCTGTAAATACCGAACAACTAAAACTCCCTTTAAACAGCCAGCTCACCCCAAAATCTGAAGTTACTCTCGATCTACTCTCCCTTAAACTATTCTCTTGAACAACAAGCTGAAAACCGGTAACCATTGGCTTCCATAGCAGACAAAAAGTCAATGGTTACAGTTTTCAAACATTCTTCAAAGCATCTTGGTGTTCAACCGAAGAAAGAAAGGGAGAGTAAACGATGACAGAATGCTCATTTCTGGGTGAACTGACCCTTTAACATCGCTTCAGTAGTAAACATTAAAACCTTGCATATGTCTTATTTACAAAAAAAGTGTGGATAAGTTAAACAGTGCTTCGCCATAACCAGCAGAGAGGAATGTGTGTGTGTGTGTGTGTGTGTGTGTGTGTGTGTGTCTTAGTTGTTCTGCAGCTCTGCGTCCTCCTCCGTCGATGCTTTTGTCAGCAAATTGCGAATGTCCTCCTCATCATTAAAAGGGTTTTCCTTGTACTCCTCCTTCAGCCACTCTCTGAACTGAACACACACACACACACACACACACACACATTAAATATAGGAATAGCAATACATTATCAAATACAGCATCATTATAGTTTCTGTAACCCTTAAAGTCACTTATTTGTAAACACATTTCCTCTTTTACTGCTTATCTGTACAGTTAAATTAGTCAACAATGCAAACACTGCACATAAAGCATGCAGAGGTGTGTGTGTTTGTGCGCATTCTGATAATGAGCATGCACATTATTGACATTGGTAGTTCAAAATGCCATGAATGAATTAATGTATTTATTATTTAAACGTTTAGTGTGCTTTTGAAGAATATTCAGATTGTATTTTTGCAGTGGTGTTCATTTCATTAATTTAACTAAACAAAAGAAGTGTGCGTAGCTGGTGTTAATATATTAGTTAATGCAGAATAGCATTAACTTTAGCCCCTTTCACACATACAGACCTTTGCTGGCAATTTTCCGGAAAGGTTGTATGTGTGAAAAGACCCTTTTTGAAAATATCGGTAAATTCGTTCTGGCTATTTTCCGGAGAGTGAAGTTGTAACATTACCGGTAATTTGCCGGAATGCTGCGCTGTGTGAATGCAGAAGGAAGATTGCCGGAGAGAGCGCGTGCACGTCTAGAACGTGCTGACCTGAGATGTCTACTTTAGCCAATCAAAATAGTCAGACGCATTCACGTGCGCGCGGTTTATGAGAATAAAAGCCTTTGAATATTTTTCCAGACACCTTTAGCTGCTAGATGTTAGTCAGATAACGTTTCTATGTTCCTTCTTAATGCCAACTGTGTAATTAATTATCGATAAAATGTTTATGATAAGCCGTTGTTTGTTTACCTTCAAGCTTTGCTTCCCGTGAGCACCAATAGCGCCAGCACACACACATGTCATGAACATCTCGACATGCGAAAGTGTTCCTCCATATGTTTTCATTGGAGTTGTACTCAACACTGATCCATCCAAAGAGTTTGTAATGTAGTCAAATGTTTACAAACACAAGCGCAGCCGTTTAGAGCTCATTTCTGGTTAATGATGTCAGAATTTACCGGCATTTTGCGATGGATGTGTGAATGCTCTTCTCCGGAAATTTACCGGTATCACTGTGTGAAAGTGGCTATTGTAGTTGTAATCTGATTTTTATTAATATTTATAATAATAATAATAATTCCGTACATTTATATAGTGCTTCTTCAACAAAAAGTCACTCATATTTGACGACTTAAAACAGTAAAATATGTTGTACTTGACCAAAATAAAAAAAAAGCTTCTTGATTTAGGGATAGTTCGATATTTGGACTGGAAACGAGCATGCTTTGTAGTGTAACTGTGGAGACGCTGAATTGACCTGCTGTAGTTCTCCAGTCTGAAACTCCTGCAGTTGGTTCTGGAAGCCGGTGTTTGGTGAAGCACAAGGTCTCGCTATCTTCACCGCAGCCAGAGCCTCCTGCCAGCCCAGCGTGGTGACGGTCATGATGTAGGCCACCACCAGCGTCACGCTACGGGAAACTCCTGCCAAACTGAACCAGCGAGGACATTACTGATGAGCAGATTGACCAATAACATGCAGGCATTGTACATAATCGACCAATCAGGACACATGTGAATGCTAGAAGCAGAATTATTGGCTTTTTTCCAATTTCAGTTTAAAGGAAAGATGTTCTCATTTCTAGTCATAATAGTTTTAATAACTCATCTCTAATAACTGATTTATTTTCTCTTTGCCATGATGACAGCACATAATATTAGACTAGATAATCTTTATGACACTAGTATTCAGCTTAAAGTGACATTTAAAGGCTTCACTAGGGTAATTAGGGTAAAATTAGGGTAATTAGGCAAGTCGTTTGTTCTGTAGACCATTGGTCCTTTTAATCACTGCAGACCAGGTGGCGTCAGGGCCACCATCAACCGATTTCTCAGAGGAACATGCAGACATAACATTGCTGTGACTCTGATACAAGCTTTATTTCTGGATTAAAATACAAAGCACTGATAATAAAGATAATTAGTCTACTAAAATGTGTTTATTCCACACAAAGTATGAAGCTGATTGGTCAGTTCTTGTCACGTGACTCGCGGTGCACTTGTGGCATTCATTCAACATTTGAGTTTACTCGCTTCATTCGCGAGTCAAATGCACTTCAGAACAGACGCGGATTTGCGTGATGGGCAGGGCTTCTGTCTGCCCGGTGACTCTAGCTTCGTTGCTTAATAGCTAACATGGATTTCATTGAGAGAAAAGCTGTGTTTATGTGTTTTATGAAGACTGAAAAACAGTGTTGATACGTTTAAGGTCGTGTCTGAGTCCACTACATGCTTTCAGAGGTGCAGCAGCTCTGTGAGCTCATAAACTCCTCCAGAAACTGAACCTGGATGACGGAGGCTTTCAGCAGTGCTTCTGACTGAGCCCAGCCCAGTTTAATGAACTGTTGTCGGTGTCGGCTTGAGGATTTCCGCCGGGACACCAACAACAGGCGATAGGTCACAATCACGCCCCCACAAGAGCAAGCTCCTGATTGGTTAATGCGGCGCGAATGTTCACTTGAATTCAGATTTTAAAACTTAAGCGATTTGTGCGAAACACGCGTTAAGCACGTCAAACACTCAATTCATGCCATTCGTGCATATCGCGCATGCTGCACAATTTTGCGTCATTTGCGCTGCACCATTCTCGCATGTTGCGTCGCAGGATATCTTTTCGCAAGTTTGCATTGACTTAACATGTAAATCACTCGCGCTTGACGCTCCTTCCGCATCTGATGTGAACACAGTATGAGATGTAAGCGAGAGAATACGGCCATTTTTCAAAATAAAAGATTTTTCAAAATATAAGACCCTTCAGACTGATAATAAATAAAATTGAAATAATTTATGATTCCTAGTGCGGCCCGGTAGGGTTGGGCGATGTCGACCAATTTGGCATCGTACAATGTCCAATGTGAAACATCGCTATGGACGATGGCATGGCCATCATGTGAAAAAAAAAGGGGGGGGGGGGTGTTTGACAGAGTGCACGCGACGTGTCTGAAGAGTGAGGAGGGATCCGGGGGAGAGAAGGTTGCACGACTTATTTGAGGACTGGGAGGAAAACGGGCGATTTCCGGGAGATTATCACTCGTTTGCGGGCATTATGAGTCCCGCTAATGCATAGAGAGCTTCCTGAAGACTTCTGAATATCACATATAGTGATAACTATAGTGAGACGCGATGCAGCGGTACATCCGTCATAAACTGTCCGACGTGCACTTCTCTCTGGAGCTCAGAGGAGCGCATGACAGTGTGTGGATATGTGTGTGTGGTCACGTGATGTGCGTTTTCAGCAGACGGAGGGCTGTTCAGAAATGCTAGGTAAAACACGGTGTGGATCATTTTCGTTCTACAATGGCATTTTAATACTAAGACATATTAGTGTAAACGGGGCCTGAGTGTGTATTTTTCCCGAGCAAGTTTGCGACGGGGCGGGGCGGAGAATCGGCGATGCTGGCTCAGCATCGTGTTGTCTATTGGCCATCGGCGATGGATGATTGCATCATCTCTCGTCCCAACCCTACGGCCCAGTACCGATTGATCCACAGACCAGTGGTTGAGGACCACGGCTGTAAGACAATCCAAAACAAGGGGACTAATAATATTGCCCTTAAAATGATTTTTAAATAACTAAGAACTGCTTTTATTCTAGCCGAAATAAAAACAAATAAGACTTGCTCCAGAAGAACAAATATTAAGAGGAAATACTGTGGAAAATTCCTGAAATAATAATTATTGACTTCAACTGTATATTGTGTGCACGTTTTAGTCTTGTGTCTGGTGCTGTGCAATGTATTGTGCATTCTATAGTCTGTGCTTTACCCTAACCCATACACTGAACACTCAATAATACCACACGAGTATATCGAATAAGCAGCGCGAGGAAGAAACTCTCCAGACCTCAACAGAATGAAAGCACGCTGTATTCTATTCTCGCATCAAAGGCCAGTGTTTACTGATATTTTAGGAAGTTCATAAATAGCTCCCCTCCTCCCCTTGACACCTAGTTATCAGCTGTTCACATTGTCACACTGCGCTCGATTAGAGTTGGTATCTCGGCTTGTAGGTTCCTCTTATACTAGAGTCGTCTCTGGTGCATGGGTCTACTAATAATATCAGCTTATTTACAGTATAATGTGCATGAGCTGCTCGCTTACCAGTGAACTAGACAGCCTTCCCCTTTCAGTCGAGATTGGTGAATGAACGCAATGCTCTGCCTAAAGTGCTGGATGCTGTGGAGAAACAAACAGAAAATGCCATGCAGTTATTTAGACGGTAATTGCAGTGCGTGATATCTAGTGTGCTCCAAAAACAGAGGCGAAATTCACATTTAGAAGACATAAACATCTATAGCAGAGATGCCTAAAGTAGGGCCTGTGGGCAAAAGTTGGCTCATGGTGACCTTTGGTTTGGCCCGCCATCCTATCTGAAAAGAGAGGGAGAATGATAGGGAGTTGAATAGGGCAAATTTAGCATAACCTTTAGTTTCTTTAATTGAGGAGCTAGAAAAAAGCCAACTCAAATTAAATGTTGTAAATGAATCAGACTTTTAAAATGTAAATACTGCCACTTGACAGATAGAGGACAATCCACAAGTCATGGCAAAGGCAGGAGCAGCTCGACTAGTGCATTCAGCATTGAGCTCCATCGTGTTATAAATGGGATTGTTTATGTTTCTACTGTAATAAGTTCATTATAAAACATTAAATATTATACTGCATCAATAATTAGTATGTTTTAAAGCAACGTTTTTTGGTTATTTTTTAATTATTAGCCAATCAATTAGGTTAATTACACATGGCAAATTTAATGTAATACGGTTGTTTGACCCACAGTCCTTACTCAAGTTTGGTTTTTGGCCCTTTATAAGAAAAAGTTTGGGCGCCCCTGATCTAAGCTTAAAGTTTGTCTCTTCCACCTAAATGGATCAAAGATTTTATTATTGTCGTCTCCTCATACTTTAGTTTAGGGCTGCATCACATTGGAAATTTTTATTTAATTATTTCATATATTATTTAATTAATTTAATTTTTTTTTGTTATATAGTATTGAAACCAGAGGTTTACACACTCTAAAAAAAGGAACATAACCATTTTTTTTTAAATGTCTGATGGTAAATCACACTAAACATATAATATTTTAGGTCCGTTAGGATTACCTACATGATTTACATTTGCTAAATGCCAAAATAATCAGAGATTTTTTTATTTTTTGAGAATTTTTTATGAATTTCTAGACAGTCAAAAGTTTACACACATTTTTCCTTGGTATTTTTTGGCTTTACTTTTAAACTGTAGAACTTTAGTCAGATGTTTTGGGTCTCCTTCCTCAAGCTTCTCACAATAGTTTGCAGGAGTTTTGGCCCATTCCTCCTGACAGAATTGCTGTAACTGAGTCAGATTTGTAGGCGGTCTTGCTCGCACAAGCTTTTTCAACTCTCCCAACACATTCTCTATAGGATTGAGATCAGGGCTTTGTGATGGCCACTCCAAAACATTCACTCTGTTGTCCTTAAAGCACATTTGAACTCATTTGGCAGTGTGCTTAGGGTCATGGTCTGTTTGGAAGACCCACACTCACCCTTACGTCTGCAAATAGGTTTTGTGTAAATGGAAGATCATGTAAAGCAGGGGTGTCCAAACACAGTCTTGGAGGGCCGGCGTCCTGCAGATTTTAGCTCTAGCTTGCTTCAACACACCTGCAAGGACGCTTCTAGAAAGCCTACAGCTTGATTAGCTAGCCCAGGTGTGTCTGATTGGGGCTGGAACTAAACTTTGCAGGACACCGGCCCTCCAGGACCGAGTCTGGACATCCCTGATGTAAAGGAATCTATTGCTGTTATTATCATGAGGAATTGTGTAAATGCTTTTCGTTTTCTTTTCCAGATTATGGAATTTAATAAGGGAATTTATTGTAGAAGCGTCTAACGGGTTGAGAATTGTATCTCCTTGCAATAAAAAGCTGAAAAATGTATCTATACAAACATTATTTAGATGGATTGTTGGTGATTGGTTGGGTGTCTTTTAAAAAGTAAGACCAGTTTAAAATGTTTGAAGACCTACAACACAATATCTATGTGAATTAAAGACTTTTTAAAGGCCTAAAATTTTGTTTTTAAGAGCCTGTTATGAGACAACAAGTGTTTTTTGACCTTGCATGCAGATCAGCCTGTTGTTGGAGACCCCCAAAACCAAAAAATGACCTTTATTAATGCATAATAGGGGCTCTTTAATGAAAGTTAAGAGCTACAATCATGTAAAAACAGTTATTTATTATCAGTAAATAAACAATGTATATCTCTCAGAATAAGCTTAAAGCTTTATGTATACACACATGTATTCACACAGATAACATCAGTCCTGTTTTGAATCTGTCACTACAGTGATGCATAGGCATTAATAGCTCCGCCCTCTCCTGAAAAGAGCACAATCTCATTTGCATTTAAAGCGACAGTCACCAAAAATTAGAATCAAAACCTAAAGGGTCAGTTTCAGAGAGCTGGAGAACATTATCTGTGTGCTATTTTCAGCTGAAACTTCACTATATACTCTAGAAACGTCAGAGACTTATTTATTATCTTGTAAACAGGGGCATAATAGGTCACTTTTAAGGCCACTGTTGTACGGTTTCAGTTCTTTTGCTGAAGCTCTTCATTCTCACTATGACTGCTCTGTTCCTCCAGTGTCAGAAGGTCACTACCGTAAATATAAACAGAGAATTACGAGACGTCTGCTGTACGAGAGGTTTTCCAGATGCAGATTCTCACTGCAGAGAAGATTTACTGCCGGCTTTATTTAGACTTTAAACTGATACTCAGATATTCTCTAATATCTCCGTGCTCAAGCTGAGCCAGATTTGGGTTACTAAATATAAAAATCAAGGCTAACACCGTCATCTGCACACTTCAAATTAATCATAAAAAGACCCACATGGGAAATCTGCAGAATTTTTAACCATTCATTCATTCATTTATTTATTTAATTTCCTTCGACTTATTCCGTTATTAATCAGGGGTCACCACAGCGGAATGAACCGCCAACTATTCCAGCATATGTTTTACACAGCGGATGCACTTCTAGCCTCAACCCATCTTTGGAAAACATCCATACACACTCATTCACACTCATACACTATGGACAATTCAGCCTACCCAATTCCCCTGTAGCGCATGTGTTTGGACTGTGGGGGAAACCGGAGCACCCAGAGGAAACCCATGCGAACACAGGAAGAACATGCAAACTCCACACAAGAATGAGCTGAAACAACACAATTCCTGATTTTTTTGTGAAGGACAACTTAATTATTCCATGTTCAATCGACTTAAATTTGTATAAACTAAAATGTTAACTTAATTCCTTCATGTTGTCTCAACACAAATCCATTGTGTGGAACGCATTTTATAGTGCACGATACAAATACTCATATCTTCTGTCTTTTGGTGGATGTAAAAAAATAATAAATATACCCAGTACACACATACATAGTATATCAAAACAAACTTTGACGATTCATTTCTGCCCAGCACTAATCATTAAATCATATGACACTGTATAAAATCCTGAGTTTCACACAAATATTTCCCAAATGATGTTGAACAGATTCAGGAGTTTTTCACAGTATTTCCTCTAATATTTGTTCTTCTGGAGAAAGTCTGATTTGTTTTATTTCGGCCAGAATAAAAGCAGTTCTTAATTGTTTTAAAGCCATTGTAGGGCTCAACAATAAGGACTGGCCGATGGCCCGGCGCCAGCGATTGAGATGCTTGGGACAGTAGACAGGATGGTTACTGGCCCGATTGGGCCACTGCTGCCATGTCACTAAAGTTTAATTTGCCTTTGACTATTTGTCAATTGCATGCAAATACAGCCTTTGAGTTGAGAAACCGTTTGTGTTCTCAAGCCTTCAAATGCGACCTTCTCGGTTCCTTTTACCTGATTGGATGTTGTGATGTTATTTTTTTCCGTATTAACCAGTACAGCAAAGAGACAGCAACATGGCGACAACATCAAACGATGATGCTAATGGAAAAGATTTGTTTCTAATGTCTTGGAAGCAGACATTTACAAGGGTGCAGCACAACTAAAAAAATCAAGTGATGTTTTGTACAGTTTGTCGTCAGTTTGGCAGGGCAGCCATCTTTTGTTTCGCAATAAAATACCTGCACATTGTGCTACTTTTGTTTGCAAAACACTTTGAATTTTGCTCATTATACATTTATAAAAATATTTAACATTTAAATTCTAGATAAACAAACATTTTGACACTTTTTTTTTTCATTTGTGGCTAAGAAATAGCTCTTTTTTTATTTTATTTTATTATATTGGCAGGGCAAGTAAAAATCTGAAACAGTTGTCCGATCGGGCCAGTAGAAAAAATCCTTAGCGTTGAACCCTGCATTATAAGGTCAATATCATTCACCCCCTTCAGCAATATTAGTGTTGGATTGTCTCCAGAACAAACCACTGTTATACAATGACTTGCCTAATTACCCTAACTTTACCCTAATTACCCTAGTGAAGCCTTTACATGTCACTTTAAGCTGAACACTAGTGTCTTGAAATGAATATTATGTGCTGTCATCATGGAAAAGAGAAAAGAAATCAGTTATTGGAGATGAGTTATTAAAACTATTATGATTAGAAATGAGAAAATCTTCTTTCCGTTAAACAGGAATATTCAGGAGGGCTGATAATTCTTCAACTAAAGGCTTATAAGCACTATTGGAGTAAACAATGAGGACATTTTTTTAAATAATTTAAGCATTTCAAGTTTGAAACAGCCCAGATCAGGGCGAGCTCCAGAAAGCGGACTGTGGTTTGGTATTTTCTTATGTTATTTGACAGGTACGGTGCTGTTTTTGACATGCACGGTAGTGTTTCCTCCAGAACATCCATCGTTCTGACAGGACCAGGATGAGAAAGGGCTGGGCTGGTCCAGTTTGGTTAGAGAGGGTCAGTTTCACATTACGCATGGCCGGGTTTCGCAGGATCGAGAGGCCGATGCTGAGGGGGATATAAATAAAGGCGTAGTGAGAACGAAGCATCACTGCACAACCCAGATCACGACTTCCTTCCTGCACAAGAGGGCCACAAGAGGAAGTGTGTGTGAGTGTGTGAGTTTGTGTGTGAGTAAATGCATGTGCACTGGAGGGTGTAACTGGTTTGATATGGCATTAAAGGGTCATGAAACCCCCTTCTCATGTTTTCACACATCTTATTAAAAAAAAAAAGCAAGGAAAAGGGGTGTGTTGAGGTGGGAGTGTCCCGTGTGAAAAGAGGGAGGGGTTTGCATAAAAAGGGGAGTTTCATTATGTGCATAGAAACGGTTAATTTGCACACCGTCAACACAAACACTGAGAAGATGAGGCTCTATTTTAACAGTATAAGCACAAAGTCTAAAGCAAATGCCGCAAAAGCACTAAGGGTGTGTGTATTTTCATTTTTTGGTGAATTATCCCTTTATAGCTGATGTAGTTACACATGTTCCATGCACTTACTATAACAATTACAATATTTTATGCATAATTACATGTAAATAACCTACCTTGAAACCCCAACCCTGCAATAAGTGCACATGATTAACAGTGGCAAAGAGTAATTGCATCCAAAATAAGAGTTTGTTGTGACATACTATATACAGTACATATAAATATGTGTGTATTATGAGCTTCATTTTGTGCATAAAACCAAAAAATAAAGCAATTTGCACACCGCCAAAGCAAACGCTGAGGAGATGAGGCTCTATTTGAATGATTTAAGCTCAAAACGACAAAAGCAGATGATGCAAAAGCACTAACGGCATGTCTGAATCTACTTTTGCTATTTTAAGGAGGGGAAAAACAGTCTGTGTGTCCAGCGCATAATCTAATAGGGTTGTGCTTATTAGAGTCATCTTAAGTCATCTTACATTCCTATTAGGAATTGTGTGTGAGTAAATGCATGTGCACTGGAGGGTGTAACTGGTTTGATATGGCATTAAAGGGTCATGAAACCCCCTTCTCATGTTTTCACACATCTTATTAGAAAAAAAGCAAGGAAAAGGGGTTTGTTTAGGTGGGAGTGTCCTGTGTGAAAAGAGGGAGTGGTTTGCATAAAAAGGGGAGTTTCATTATGTGCATAGAAACGGTTAATTTGCACACCGTCAACACAAACAATGAGAAGATGAGGCTCTATTTTAACAGTATAAGCACAAAGTCTAAAGCGAACAGCGCAACAGCACTAAGGGTGTGTGTATTTTCATTTTTTGGAGAATTATCCCTTTATAGCTGATGTAGTTAAACATGTTGCATGCACTTACTATAGTAATTACAATAATTTATGCATAATTACATGTAAATAACCTACCTTGAAACCCCAACCCTGCAATAAGTGCATAAGAGTTGTTGCATTCAAAATAAAAGTTTGTTTTGACATACTATAAACAGTATCTATAGATATGTGTGTATTATGAGCTTCATTATGTGCATAAAACCAGAAAATCAAATAATTTGCACACCGCCAAAGCAAACGCTGAGGAGATGAGGCTCTATTTTAACAATTTAAGCTCAAAAAAATCGAAAGCAGATGATGCCAAAGCACTGAAGGCATGTCTGAATCAGCTTTTAAGGAGGGGGAAAATGGTCTGGGTGTCCAGAGCATAATCTAATAGGGTTGTGCTTATTTTCTTTATGAGTTCCGGGTGTGTTTTGGGCATTATGTGCATGAAACCAATCAGAGTCATTAGATGACTTCCACTAAGTCAAGTGGAGGTGTGTGTGTGTGTGTGTGTGTGTGTGAGTAAATGCATGTGCACTGGAGGGTGTAACTGGTTTGATATGGCATAAAAGGGTCATGAAACCCCCTTCTCATGTTTTCACACATCCTATAAGAAAAAAAGCAAGGAAAAGGGGTGTGCTGAGGTGGGAGTGTCCCGTGTGAAAAGAGGGAGGGGTTTGCATAAAAAGGGGAGTTTCATTATGTGCATAAAAACAATTAATTTGCCCGCCGTCAACACAAACACTGAGAAGATGAGGCTCTATTTTAACAGTATAAGCACAAAGTCTAAAGCGAACGGCGCAAGAGGATGAACTATCCCTTTAATAGCATGTAACAGACATGCATTCAAACCCCAAATATATAATAAATGCATATAATTTATAGAGCTAGGCAAAGATTAATAACATCCAAATTAAAAGCTTGTTTTGACATAATATATGTGTGTGTGTTTTATATATATATATATTTCACAATGAGCATAAAAAAGTAAACAAAATAATCTGCGCACCAACCAAGCAAACACTGAGGAGATGAGGCTCTATTTTAATGATTTAAGCGCAAAAAGTCTAATGCAGATGATGCAAAAGCACTAAGATCGTGTCTGAATATACATCTGCTATTTTAAGGATGAAAAAAACGGTCTGTGTGCCCAGCGCATGGTCTCACAGGGTTGTGCTTATTCTCTTAATGAGTTCTGGGTGTGTGGGGAGTTTCATTCTGTGGATAAAAACCAGGGCTGGATCTCTTTAGCATCGATATTGTGAAGTGTGAATCTGCAATAGTCACATCACACGATCTGCAATGTTAAATAGAGATTCTAATTAACAAGAAAAGTTCAGAACCTGCGCAAAGTTTAACTCTAATTCAATAGTATGAAAGCCTTTTATGTGTATGTGTTTTTTTAAGGCCTGTGACTGTAAGATTTCAAGAGAACTTAGGCCATTTCGGCACAAGAAATTATAAAGTTTGCAGCTTTAATGAAGATTAATTCTATTTAATTATTTAATACGATAAAAGAAACACTATTCAGTGTTGTTTTACATTTGATTATTACATTTCTATACTTCACTACTGGTAAAGTCCAACTGAAAACCATAAAGTTTTGTTTATGTAATTTTTTGTTTATGTAAAAAGTTGTTTTCATTTCTTCCTTAGTTCTTTTCTTTTTTTTTTTGCATAATTTTGTAGATTTTTTTTATTTTAGAAAATTAGGAATTCTTTCCAAATAGAGTCATCTTGTAAAATGATTCCACACCTCCCTTTCTTCACGCACGTATCTCAAGGTTTCTAAATCTTGCTGCTTCTGTGGGTCTCGTCTATCAAATCTGAGCTTTATTCTGTTTTCTCTATTGGATTGGGATCAGGTGATTGGCTGGGCCATTCTACAGCTTGATTTTCTCTCTCTGAAAGCATCTGAGAGTCTCCTTGGTTGTGTTTTGGATCATTGTCCTGCTGAAATGCTTCATTTTTATCCTCCTGTTAATGTAAATGTTGGACTAAGGCAGCTGATCTTCATTTACACTGAGGAAGTGCAGAGGCTTGCTGAAGAACTCCTGAGATTTCAGCTGCTGTCTGGGCTTTCACTGCCATTCTACACCTTCTTTCTTCATGTGTTCAACACTTTTCTTAGTGTCGTTTCATTTTATTACACTGAACTTCATTTGTAAAGTAATTCTTTGCACATACAGTATATGGATTTCTTTGGTTGTTCCCAACATCTGGGGGAAATTTCAAGTCAACAGCACCTTTAGAAAGATGTTTTCTAAGGAAAAATGTTGACCTGTTCAATACTTATTTGCCCCACTGTAATTATTTTAGATTTAACAAATAATGCACAGATGATCTCTCCTATCTGGCCAAAGCAATGGTCAGTGTGTAATCTGACCCCGAAGATATTTTGGACACAGAAAGGAATGTGCTGTCTTTTTGGACAGAGACATGCTCATGCTCCTATACAGGCCGACTTAACCCTGGTGTGCTGTTGGGTCGTTTTCATCCACTTAATTTGATTTTGAGGCTTAATTTGGCCTCAACTTTCTCTGTGCTTTAACAAATGGAATGAATTTTGCTGACTTTGGAGATATTTTCTAAAAAATGCTTTGAAAATTAAGTGAGTTGTTCCTTAAAACAAAGCAAAATAATCTTGTTTTCACTTTGAATCTGATTATTTTGCTTGCCCCATTGGCAGATTAATTTCCCTGTTTAAAAAAATATATATAGACCGCAAAACAAAATTATTTGCTTGTTTAAAAATGCTTCTTGATTTAATGATATTTCAATATTTGGGCTAGAAACAACAAAGTAAGAAAAGCTTTTGTTTGCAGTGTGTCTTTTACGCAGACTGAAGAGAGGTGACAGGGTAAATAAAGCATGTGTGGATGCAGAACTTATAAACGCTGTTTATGAGAAATATTTGCATCTTTGCTAATAGAAAACATGGCAATCAGAAGCCCATCGGCCTACTCACAGGTTCTGTGTGGGCGAATCTGCTGCTGCGATACACAGATAAGTCATCTCCTAAAACACAGACATGGGCTTTAATATCTTTTTTTTTTACAATGAATAAATGAATATATAGAATGTAACTGATATCACCGTTTTAAAAAACTGCATTATATCATACATCTGGAGATTAACTCTGTATATGGATGACAACTGTACTGTCCACCGTACTCACACCTTAACTGATTATGATTGTAGGGTATTCAATGTATGTATTCAATGACTGCGAAAAGAGCTATACAATTAAACTTGAACTGACTAATAATAATAGTAATATTAATAATAATAATAAACATTATTAATTATATTGTTAATAATAATAAATATAATAGTCCTAATATAATTAATATCATTATTAATTATAATATTGTTAATAATAGTAATAAAAATATAATATTAATAATAATAATAATTATTATTATTATTATTATTATTATATTGTTATTGTTTTTAAAAATATTACTAATAATTTACATTAAATGTTACATTTATCATTGCTGGTGAGTTGTTATTAATAATAGTAATGGTAATAATAATAATAATAATAATAATAATAAAAATTAAAATAATAATCATCATAATAATGATATTAACAATGATGTTATTATTCTAAATACATTATATAATTTTATTTAAAATAATAATAATAATTATTATTATTATTATTGTTGTTATTAATATTAATAATATATTTTGTTCTGTTCGGAAAGTATTCTTTTGGAGGGTCTAGATCAGGGGTGCCCAAACTTTTTCTGATGAAGGGCCTAAAACCAAACTTGATTGAGGGTGGTGGGCCGAAGATAAATATACCAAACTATTATAGTAAAGTTGGCATGATAAATTTCTAATTTCTTTAAATATAAAAATAAATAGAAAAATTACTTTAATCGTATTAATAATTACATATATAGTTTGATTATGTCTGGTAATTTTGACTTTATTTTTTTAATTCTTGTATTATTTTTTGCTAAACTAAATTTTTTTAACCTTTTTCAATTTGTATGACAGTGTTTAAATTAAAAATTGTTAAAGAATTAAATTATTGATATTTAATGATATTAACATTAAAAATAGTAATAATAATGACAATATTAATAACATTAATTAAGGATAATAATAATAATAATATTATTATTATTATTAATGCCATATTATTATTATTATTATTATTAATAATAATAATAATAACAATAATAATCGTGATAACTATGATAATCATAATGTTTATGACATAAATAATAATAATCCTCATAATAATAATAATATTAATAGATAATAATCTTGCTTAGCAGTCTTAAAAATCTCCATGATGAAGCATTGCGCGGTGCACCTGTAATATGGGCGCTGCAGTATCGTGGATGGAGAGGATGTGTGTGATGTTGTTTCTGGCCAACTGCTCACGATCTCTGGCATCTGCAGGAGTTTATATGAACACGTTTACCATCTTACACAAACACACACCTTATGAAGACTCTAGTGTTGTGCATTCTTACCTTTGAAATTACCCAAGTACAGGTCAGGCAGAACCTGAAAGCACACAAGCAGGACTGCTCAGTCACAAACAAACAAACAAACAAACAAACGATTCAACAATCTTAAAGCAGAGCAGGTAATCTTCTTTATCAAATGTTTCCAAATGACGTTCAACAGATTCAGGAAATTTTCACAGTATTTCTTCTAATATTTGTTCTTCTGGAGAAAGTCTGATTTGTTTTATTTCGGCTAGAATAAAAGCAGTCCTTAATAGTTTTAAAGCCATTTTAAGGTCAATATTATTAGCCCCCTTCAGCAATATTAGTGTTAAAATTTAAAATAAATGTAAAATAAACAGGGGGCTAATAATTCAGAATATATAAACTATAAAGATCAACACCTAATAAAGTTCTGCTCAGAATGTAAACAGAAGATTTTAATTCCAAAATGGCGTTCAGCCACACGGTCGAGTTATGTTTTGGCGGTAAACTAGACGGGATACGCAGCTGGCCGGAAGTGTGATATGCTTATCAATATAGCAGCATTCATATGACACTCTATAACTATAATTAATATTTTTATAGTACTGTAGCGATTGGGTTTAGGGTTGGGGTAGACGTTAAAAATTACAATTTATTTAGAAGTTTAATTGATAACGTAAATAATACTCGGTACAACTACTGTTTTTAAAGTACTCAAGGTTGGTTTAAGGTTGGGTGGGGGTAGACGTTAATAAAAAACAACAAATGTGAAATTTTATAAATAATATAAATAATTCTCGCAACCGCATCCGATCTAGCAACAACCGACAACACAATGCTAGGCAGATGTTTTCAGTGGCTGTTAGCATGTTGCTATGGTGTTGCTAGGGTGTTGTGGACCGTTGCCAAAAGTGCTCTTTAGTGATTTATAGTACACTACAAACTGGTTGCTGGTGTTTTGAGTAGTTGTCAAAAGGTTTCTAGGGTGTTAATATCTATGACTGGTTAGCAGGCTGAGTAGCGTTTGTTTGCTAGCGTGTTGTATGTGGTTGCTAGCGCGTTGTTAAGATGTCGCGCTCTTCTACAGATTATCTTGAGTCAATAAACTAAATATGTGCGATTTTTCATCAGTTTCGTCGTAATCGAAAGTAAGCGCTTCGAGACACGTGATTTGATGACTCACTCTTGTTTATCCAGATAACTTTAATTCTTTAGGATCTGCTAAAATCCCCAAGACTAATCCTGATGCTGTTTTTTGTCTAACATCTCCAACAAACACCTGAAGGGTTGAGCGATCTGATTCTCATCTCATTTCCCTCATCGCAGATCATTCCCCCTTAAAGTTACAGCAGTGACGGGAATTCAGCCGTGTCCATCTGAGTTACCTTATTAATGCCGTTTCCCATGCCACGGTGTGTGCGGTGGCCGGTATTGCAGGATTCCGCTTGAAACGAGGCTCGTATCGACAGTTTCTAATCGATAATATTAATCGCTTACATCCAACTCTACTGTCGTCCACTGACACTCACTCACTCACTCAAGTGTGCGGAGTTTTCGACTAGCCTCTCTTAAAGGCGCAGTGCGCACTATTGTGATGGTTGTATTTTATAGTGATTTGGCTGCTGGTATGATTTCACTACTTATAATTTGCAAATAACACTTCTCTGAAATTATATTATTCAGGAGAAAGTTTGAAAGTGCGGATATAAAACCAACTTTACCTCAGTTAGTGCATGTGTGGAGGTTAGTAGGCTTCTGACCGCAGTGATCTGAGCTTTAGCAGAGCAGAGTGTGGTGTTTTGAATTTGGGTGTTTCCCAGTACTGGGTTGCCGCTGGAAGGGCATCTACTGTGCAAAACATATGTTGGAATAGTTGGTGGTTCATTCCGCGGTGGCGACCCCTGATGAATAAGTCGAAGGAAAATTAATGAATTGTAATTCTAATTGTTGTAAATGGCCATTGTGAAATCTAACTTTTGTTGTTAAATCTGTGATTTGTATTTATTGCCATAAATCCGATGTATATATATATATATATATATATATATATATATATATATATATATATATATATATATATATATATATATATATATATATATACACACACACACACACACTGTAAAATACGTTATTTATTTAACCCAATGGTTGAGTTGAACATATTTGCTGCTTTGTTGGGTTATTTTTAACCTTTATTTGGTCATTTATTTGTTAACTCAAACAGTTGGGTTAAAAATGTGAATTTCTGACACAAAACAGATGCATTATGTGTGCGTAATGTTTTTGAGTTATAAAGTTTAAGCTATAGCGCAATAATATTGTTAGTTATTTTATTTATTAAATTACCTTTCCGTGTCGTTTTTTTTCTGTTTCACCATCCAAGACCATCATTTAGAAGTGTTTAGATGTGGTTAAACTGTATTGTACACTGTGGACACTGAGTGAAGCTGCAGCAGCTGCTGGACGGCCTCTACAGCACACAGAGCTCCATATTCTGCTCCATCAACACAGGATTTGCTTGCAGAGTTTATAACTGTCGGCTTTGTTCTGTTTCTTCTTCGTTTGTGATTCTTAATTAGTTTTAACAAAAGTGTCTGGATCTAAAATGTAATGGAAATAAAGCATTTTCAATATTTTTTGAAAAAAATATGTTATTTATTTACCCAGCCATAATTATAAAATTAATAGTAGTACTAGCAGCAAATGAAAAAAATAACAACATTTAATCAAAATAACCCAATGCATTGGATTATATGATATAACCCAATGCATTGGGTTGAAATAACCCATAGTTGGGAAGGTGCTATAATAACCTATTGTTGGGTTATATGTTTATTTTAACCCAACTATTTTAACAGAGTATATATATATATATATATATATATATATACAGTTGAAGTCAAAATTATTGGCCCCTCTTTGATTTTCTTTTTCTTTTTTAAATATTTGCCAAATGATGTTTAACAGATTCAAGAAATTTTCACAGTATGTCTCATAATATTTTTCCTTTTTCCTAATATTTGTCTTATTTGCTTTATTTCGGCTAGAATAAAAGCAGTTATTAATTTTTTAAACACCCTTTTAAGGAAAATATTATTAGCCCCTTTAAGCTATTTTTTCGATAGTCTACAGAACAAACCATCATTATACAATAACTTGCCTAATTACCCTAACCTGCCTAGTTACCCTAGTTAAGTCTTTTAATGTCACTTTAAGCTGTATAGAAGTGTCTTGAAGAATATCTAGTCTAATATTATTTACTGTCATCATGACAAAGAGAAAATAAAATGGGTTATTACAACTTTCATGTTTACAAATGTGTTGAAAAAATCTCTCTGTTGAACAGAAATTGTGGGAAAAAATAAACAGGGGGGGGGGGGATATTCAGGGGGGCTAATAATTCAACTGTATATATATATATATATATATATATATATATATATATATATATATATATATATATATATATATATATATATGGAATATTGATTGAATGGCATTGCTCTGTAACTGTTACTTTACAAATAGTCCCGCAGATTCAAATGACACAGTTCTTGCCAATTCAATTATTTATTTACATTTTTTAATTATATTTTACATACATGCAGCATTTTAAAATTCACAACATCATCCACTCACCGTTTGCTATATATCCATGTTGAAATGTTCAGTAAATGCCACTCACCTACACAAGTAATTCACAGTTCATGTCTGGAGAAGTGTTCTCTGGAAATAATCATGTCTCTCTCTTGGATATATTTTTTCTTTTCTTCAAGGATGTTTTTTTTTGTCATGTCGTGTAAAGGGTTTTATTTTAAATATTAATTTGCTAAAAATGTTTATACTGTGATAAATGATGCCATTATTAATGTGAGACGAAGAAGATACAAACGCAAACCTCTATACTGTCTGACATTGCAATACTTCAGAGCTCAACTCTATCTGAAGCAGTCAAGTGTAAACGAAGAGCACCAGAAGAGGGCGCGCAGGACTAATGAACGGGAGGGAGAGAGACGTTACCTTTCTCTGACCCTCATCTGCTCTTACCTTCCCCTGACCCCTCTCCCCTCTCCTCTGAATGCACACAGCTCGCGCAGCTGAACAAGGAGGCAGGAGACTCCCTCGCCGTACAGCCGAGACTCTGGTCATGGGAGCCGGCCGGAGCCTCCGGGCGGCACGTAGCCTACCTCGGGAAGCACATTAATGGCTTAAAACTGTCTAAATAATGTGCATGTAATTGCTTATATGTTGATTTATGTACTTAAAGGTGCATGGATCAACTATAAATTTGTTCACACAAGACATGACCTATAAGTTTTGCTGACTATTAGAATTGTTGACTGAGCGATTATCAGACCACATTACACAGTTGGTCCTTAGAGATTTACAAGCTGTGCTTTGATATAATATGTAAAACCCAAATGGTGTATATGGGTATTCCTGAGCATAACTCAATATGTCAAGTCCTCAATGATGTATGAGGTGAATCTGTGGATGACCTGAGATTGGGAGTATAAAAGCTGAGCCATACTGATCAGCTTTGCGCGTTCTGGCTTCTCTACACTGAGGTCGCTCCTTTATTCTCAACGGAGGATAAGGTAAGGGTTTTGTTATTTGTCTTTTGTTTATTCTACTTTTCACTTGATTTTATTTCAATAGTAAAAGTGTATTTCGTCAGTTTTCTTCACTGGAGTGGACATTCATTTTCCAGAACACATCAAGTGTGGTAAAGTATGAATCTGATTTATTCTCTTTGCAAAAACATTATAAGACGATCCTTTAACCAAACTCCAGCTAGAAATACAGCGAATGGAGGATGCTGGCTTATCTTTGTTTAATTAGGGTAATTAAATAAAGGCGACCCAGCACAATACCAAATGCAAATGTATTATTTTTGTAAATATTTGATACTATACTTGCTATACCTCCAGCAGTGTTAACCCTTTGATGTCTAAAGCAGGGGTGGGCAAACTCGATCCTGGAAGGTCCTGCAAAGTTTAGGTCTAGCACTAATCAAACACACCTGAACATGCTAATCACCCTAGTAGCAAAGAATTCTGGCCCAGATTTGGCATAAAGCTGGCACAGCAGGCATTCATCCGGCACTGGCATACAGCATGTGGGCCAAACATGGCCCGGGTTTGGCAGAGGTGGCACCGTTTTTAAGGCGGCACACAAGATTTGGGCCAGATGAAACACGTAGTATTTGGCCCAGATTTACAAATTTGATAAGTGGGCCATTTGAGTTTGGCCAGTCTTGACCCACATTTAAAATACACTAAAATCATTTTTGAGTAACGAAAAAAAAACCACATAGCAAAATTTCTCTGGCCCAGCTCTGGCCCACACAATCAGGTTTTGCTTGGCCCACATGCCGCAGTGAATTACGGTACATGACTGGACCAAATCTGGCTTCCAGACAAGGGCCAAACACAGACCATATCTGGGCCAAGTCTCAGCCAAGTTAATAACTCATAACTGGGTCTGAACTGGGCCAGATAGGTTGGTGTGTCACGATTGCAATGAAATTGATAAACGCATGGAGTGATGCGCTTTAGGCACACTATGGGCACGCTTTTTCTCAAAGTGACCTGATTAGTAGAATTTGTTTTCTTTACTCAAAAATGATTTTAGTGTATTTTAAATGTGGGTCAAGACTGGCCAAACTCACATGGCCCACTTATCAAATTTTTAAATCTGGGCCAAATACTACGTTTTTCATCTGGCCCAAATCTTGTGTGCCGCCTTAAAACCATGCCGCCTCTGCCAAACCCGGGCCATGTTTGGCCACATGCTGTATGCCAGTGCCGGATGAATGCCTGCTGTGCCAGCTTTATGCCAAATCTGGGCCAGAATTCTTTGCTACTAGGGAATTCTACCAATCAGGTCACTTTGAGAAAAAGCGTGCCCATAGTGTGCCTAAATCGAATCACTCCATGAGTTTATCAATTTCATTGCAATCGTGAAACACCAACCTATCTGGCCCAGTTCAGACCCAGTTATGAGTTATTAACTTGGCTGAGACTTGGCCCAGATATGGTCTGTGTTTGGCCCTCGTCTGGAAGCCAGATTTGGTCCAGTCATGTACCGTAATTCACTGCGGCATGTGGGCCAAGCAAAACCTGATTGTGTGGGCCAGAGCTGGGCCAGAGAAATTTTGCTATGTGGGCAGTGTCTTCATGGTCACATAGCAGATGTGTTTGACTTTGACTAGAGTTGGAGCTAAACTGTGCAGGACACTGGTCTTCCAGGATCAAGTTTGCCTACCCCTGGTCTAAAGTGGCCCGTCTAGCTTATTTTTTCATTGTCTATTATATAGCTTGTGCAGCAAAGAGTTGAAGCTTTAACATTACTGTAATAACACTATATGTGCATCTAATACAGTTGACTGTATTCTCGTTTTGCACGTGACTGTGACCATTATATCAGGAACCTTTACATGTTTTTATATTGTAATGTAGACTATATTAGGCTAGCGTCTCTCTTTTTTTTGTTTTTTGTATTGTATTGCCTGTTCTGTTTTCTATTTTTTGTTGTTACTACCCTGCTGAAAAATCCAGCTTAAACCAGCCTAGGATGGTTGGCTGGTTTTAGCTGGTCAACCAGCCTGGTTTTAGAGGAGTTTTGGCCACTTCCAGGCTGGTTTCCAGCCATTTCCAGCCTAGTTTTAGCTGGACAGGAGATGACCAGCTAAAACCAGGCTGAAAATCGCTGGAAACCAGCCTGAAAGTAGCCAAAACCCCTCTAAAACCAGCCAAGGCTGGTTTAAGCTGGATTTTCAGCAGGGTAGGTTTTATACTATTGCTGTATATCTTTGTATTCTTGTTGGACATTCTAATAATAATAAAAAATAGTTCATCGCTGGATAAAAGAAATACAAATATTAATCACTGGACTAGTGTGGTCTGATCTCTTTCTCTGCTATCGATTATTTACGCCTGCCTGAGTTGTAGTTTCACTTTGTAGGCTTAACTAAAATCCCGGAAGAGGAGCAGAAGTGAATAAAGGCGTTATGACACACGGTTTGTTTTACACTGATTTAATGTTTTTATGTTATTTTGAAAGAATTGTTTTGATCGGTGTAGAAACATGATTATTGAAGATGGTAACGTTAAGTCGCGCTAGCATCTGTCGTTAAGTTAACTAGCTCATGAATGGAAAAGTTTGGTCAAAGTTTCGAAACCGACCAAAATACCAAACTGTTGATGGAAAAATGATCGTTTCTGATCGAGTTGAACGCGTTTTTCTAAACTAAAGATATTATTCTGTGACTTTTCATTGAAATGTGTAGGATACATGTCGGAAACAGGGGAAAGTACGTGGGTTACAGCTTATCACGTAAATATAGCATCATGTTGGTGACACTGTACAACAATAATTCACATTTTTACATCACTGTGAGGGTTTGGGTCTGAGTTAGACGTTATTACACGACAATTTAATGGGTAATGTAATAAATAATATGAATAATACTCTGTATAATTTCTGTTTTACGTAACTGAGGGTTGTGTTTAGTGTTGGGGTGGTGGTAGATGTTAATACACTACAATTTTATTGGTAATTTATTAAATAATATTAATAATACTTTGTATAATTACTGTTTTTACATTACTGTGAGGGCTGGGGTAGTGGTAGACATTAATAAAATAAAAATTAGTGTATAATTTAATAAATAATATGAATAATAATCTGTGTTATTGCTGTTTTCCTTTACTGTGAGGGTTGCGGTAGGGGTAGCTGTTAATAAAATACAATTTAATGCAGAATTTAATAAATAATATGATAATAATCTGGCAGTGGCGCAGTAGGTAGTGCTGTCGCCTCACAGCAAGAAGGTCGCTGGTTCGAACCTTGGCTCAGTTGGCATTTCTGTGTGGAGTTTGCATGTTCTCCCTGCCTTCTCCCGGATTAATAAAGGGACTAAGCCGATCAGAAAATAAATGAATGAATAATAATCTGTGTAATTGCTGTTTTTACTTTACTGTGAGGGTTGCGGTAGGGGTAGCTGTTAAAAAAATACAATTTAATGCGTAATTTAATAAATAATATGAATAATAATCTGTATAATTGCTGTGTTTACCCGCTGTGATGATTAGGTTTAGAGTCGGGGTTGGGGTAGACGCCATTAAAATACGATTAATGGATAATATATTAAATAATTCTTGTTAACTTCCAGCCGCAGTTGTATCCCTTCTAGCATTTAGAGTGATCTTCACTTCTGCAAACCTCATCAAGTTGTAATTTTAGCTGGCTAATAGATATATTGTTAGATGTCTTATGTATTTATGCGCTAATATGTGGATGTTGTTCATAGGGAAGTGTGCTTTGAGAATAGAGGAACAATGTCTACTTCGGTCAGCCCGAGTCTCATGAAATCAGCAGATCTGATCAAGAAAGAGCCTCTGGATTATGGAGGATTTGGAGAAGTTTACTTGTGTTACCATAAAACTCTTGGACATGTGGTGCTAAAGACCGTCTACACCGGACCACCCCGCAGTGGGTAAGATGAGCCACCGGTTTATCTTTCGTCCTGGTCATGTTAAGAGGAATGAGTGGATTTAATTTGAGCTCAAATTGGTTTTATATTAAGTTCTGTTTAACAGAGAGTACATTTCTACACGTAATAGTTTTAATAACTCATTTCTTATAACTGATTTGTCATGATGACAGCACATAATATTTATTTCAAGACACTAGTTTTCAGCTTAAAGTGACATTTAAAGGCTTCACTAGGGTAATTAGGGTAAAGTTAGGGTAATTAGGCAAGTCATTGTATAACAGTGGTTTGTTCTGGAGACAATCCAACACTAATATTGCTGAAGGGGTGAATAATGTTGACCTTAAAATGGGTTTTCAAATATTAAGAACTGCTTTTATTCTAGCCGAAATAAAACAAATAAGACTTTCTCCAGAAGAAAAATTATTAGAGGAAATTAGGGCTGCAACTAACGATTATTTTATTAAATCGATTAATTTGTCAATTATTTCTTCTTGAATTAAATAAAAAAAGAAAGAAAAAAGATAAGCATTCATTTCCAAGCCTTTATTTATCCCTGAGCTGTTATAATAATAATATTAACAATAATTAGGGCTGCAACTAACCATTATTTTAGTAATCCATTAATCTGTCGATTATTTTTCCAATTAATCAATGAATCGAATAAAAAAAAAGAAAATTCATTAATTTTATTAAAAAAAGCTCATCCCTGAGCTGATAATAATAATAATAATAATAATAAAATGAAAAACTAAGTAGTTTTGTCCTGTTTTCAGTCCAAATATCTAAATATTTTTAAATCAATATACATACTAGACCTGAAATGGCATTAGAAATTGTCTTGTTTTCTGAAAAAAAAAACACACACCTTAAAACACCTCAAAATGAAGTGTCTGCTTGCTTAAAACAAGTTATATAATTTGCGAGTCGGGTAAGAAAAATAATCTTAATGAGAATCTTTCACCAGTATATAATCTTTCACCAGTTCACATAAACGTGTAAGTGATTATGATCTATAACGTGAAATGGTTATCGACATGTTTACTTGCAGACACTCGTTTGCCTCATTCATAAAAAGCCAAACACGCAGGATTCAGCACGTAAATTCACCAGTTACCCCCAAAATACATGCAAGCAAGTGCCTGGTGAACTTAGAGAAGAGTAGATTCAACTTTATAGTTACTTTCTCTGTGCATCTGATATGAATAAAGCACATCGATGAATTATATTTGAATGGATTGTTAGACTTTCTTGTGTGTTTTACAAACTAAATGTTTTGTTTTAATAGTACTTGTGTGTATTTACATGTCTAAAACATAAAATAAGCATTGGGTGGTTAAAACGCTGCAAAATTATGATAATATGACACGTCTTGCCAATGCGCCAGAGCTCAGTTTAAATTTTTCAGTCGCCGCTCTAATGGTTAACAAGCTAACGCTAACTTGTCATGCTTGTCAAGCTGGATAACGAGTAAAAGACCAGCACCAGGGACTTTACGGTCCTCACTTCAAACGGAACAAAAGTAGGATTCTGTAGTGATTTACCCTGCTTTACCCTGTTGAACTCCCTTCCTCCTCATCGCTGTCTATGAGACTCTGAACTCATGTATCATTGCACGAGAGAGACTGTGTTCACTCTGCTTCATACTGAACTAAAGGTTTTTTAAAAATAATTAAGCTTACCCGCGTCGTGCGATGCAGCGAATCGATTATGAAATTCGTTGCCAATGGTTTTATTAATCATAAAAGTGTATTTATTTTGTGGCTGTTATCGATTTAATCGATTCGTTCTTGCAGCCCTATAGGAAATACTGTGAAAAATTCCACAATCTGTTCAACATCATTTGGGAAATATTTTATTAAAGAAAAAAATAATAATAAATTTTGATTTCAATTCTATGTGTGTGTGTGTGTGTGTGTGTGTGTGTGTGTGTGTGTGTGTGTGTGTGTGTCAGCCGACAGAAGCAGTCTCTCCTGGAAGAGGGCAGTCTGATGAGCAGATTGAACCATCAGCGTGTGGTCAAACTACTGGGTGTTATTCTGGAGGATGGAGATTATTCATTGGTCATGGAGCTCATTCCTAAAGGAAACCTGCTCACCATGCTGGAGACGGTATGCATGATCTGAGCATAATGGGTCACCTTTATGAGCTGTCAAACCTTTAATGTGCTTTAATATTGGAGACCTGAAAACATACTTTTGAAAATATGTTTATCCGGTGGTTCAGTGGTTAGCACTGTGGCCTCACAGCAAAGGTCGCTGCTGCGTTAGTTGGTGTTTGTGTGTGGAGTTTGCATGTTCTCCCCGTGTTGGCGTGGGTTTCCTCCGGGTGCTCCGGTTTCCCTCACAGTCCAAACACATGCGCTATAGGGGAACTGATGAACTAAATTGGCCTTAGTGTATGAGTGTGTGTGAATGTGAGTGTTTTCCAGTACTGGGTTGCAGCTGGATGAAATCCGCTGTGTAAAACATGTGCTGGAATAGTTGGTGGTTCATTCCACTGTGGCGACCTCTGAAATAGACTAAACCGAAGGAAAATGAATGAATGAATGTTTTATCCCTGGTGTGCTCACTGTGCTGTTGGGTCGTTTTCCTCCACTCTGGGCTGATCTTAAGTCTTAATTTGGCCACAGCTTTCTCTGTGTTTCAGCAAATTTTTTCTAACAAATCTTCTAACTTTAATTTTTTCTAACAAATCTTATTTTGACACATATTTTGGGAAAATTCTTTAGAAATTTTCCACAAACTTTTCCACAAACAAGTTGACTCACCTTTCAATATGTTAGGGGCTGTTTTTGCCCCATTGACCTCCATTATAATCACACCATATCATATCATAATCAGCATATGATCATGCATTCCTGTTTGTATAAAAATGGACATATCAGCAGTAGCACATACGTAGTTAACCCATATAGATTTTTATGTCAGTATTTTTCAAAGTGAGCTTGATATTTGCTAATAATTTGATTTTTATTTGGTTCTATTAAGGAAGAAACTGAAGCATGTTCGACTCATTCTGATGTGAGTCTCTAAATATTAATAAACAAGCTGATCTGCATCTGGACGATGTGAAACACATTATGTAACCCATTTGCATCTGCAAGCTGTCCAATACACATTTTTAAATGAGTGTTATTAATGAATATTTATGACTGTTGGATGATGACTTGACACATAGTCATGCAATTTGGTTTCTCTTTCATGAGACTTTAATAACTTCATTCTTTTATGTATAATCACATGGAAAATATTGAAGTATTTACAATAAACTGAGTAATGTACCCAGTTATTGTTTCCTCAACCAGATATATTTGGTTTTTATAGTCTATTTGCATTTGAAAGTGTGAAAAAAGAAACAAAAAACCTAATGTACACTGCAAAACAACCATTTTCTCAACGTTTTAGTCTTGTTTCTAGTCCAAATATCTTAAAATTCTTAAGTTTTGTGTAACGTGAAGTGACGCTTGTCAAGGGAGTGCGGATCCAAATGCAGGTTTTATTAAAAGAGATGGTCAGGCAAGCAACAGTCAACACAGGAGCAAACAGTTGTATACGGGCAAGAGTTGTAGTCAAATAAACAGGCAGATGGTCAAAAGGCAGGCAGCAGACAGGAATAAACAAAACAAGGCGAGGGTCAAAACCGGCAAGGCAAGGAAAACGCATCATAATGTTCACAGTTCAGTTTAACAAGACTCAGCAATGAAGAGTGTGAGTGTGTGTGCTGTATTTAAAGTCTATGGAATCAGATCGTAACCATCCTCCTGCTGTGTGCGTGAAATCAGTAATGATCAGGAACCAGTTGTGAGTGTGTGTGTGGTGCATGTCTGGATCTTGTAGTCCATAATGGTGGATTTGTAGTCCATTCGCGATCTGCAACACCTAGATCGCTGAAAATCATGACAGATTGATTGCTTTCAGACATATTGAGTCAAAATTCAGTGAGTTTTTCCATAAAGCAAGCAAAATAATGTTATTTCAAAGTGAAAACAGGATTATTTTGCTTTGTTTTAAGGGAAACTCGCTTAATTCCGAGTCCTCATTCATGAAAACAAGACAATATTTTGTGCTTCTCCAGAAAACGCTTCTTGATTTAAGAATTTGTAGATATTTGGATTAAAATCAAGACTAAAACTATAAGATTTTTTTTTCTGCAGTGTATCTAGGGCTAGATAACGTATAAATCATCCGTTTATTGGCATGGCTGAGTAATTATAAGCATCATAATCCATGAGCAGATCGTAAAATGCTGAATAAATAATATTATTGTTTGTTGTTCCAGGTGACGGTTCCAATATCTGTGAAAGGGAGGATCATTCTGGAAATCTTGGAGGGAATGGTTTATCTGACGAAGAACCAAGTCATTCACAAAGATCTGAAGCCTGAAAACATCCTGGTGGACAAAAACTTCCATATAAAAGTAAAATAAAAGTGTTTCGATTAGCTTTAGATTTGTGTCACATCAAAACAATTTAAACATTCTGAGCAGGGAGCTGAAATATGACTTATATCATAAGCAGTAATGCTACTGCATGTTTTAAAGGTGACCTATTATTCCTCTTTTTACAAAATGTAAAATAAGATGTCTCTAGAGTGTGTTATTAGCTCAGTTTCAGCTCAAAATAGCACACAGATCATGTTCTCCAGCTCTCTGAAACTGACCCTTTCAGGCTTTGATCCTCATTGTGGCGTTTTGGTGACTGTCACTTTAAATGCAAATTAGATTGTCCTCTTTTCACAAGAGGGCGGAGCCATTAATGCCTATGCATAGTGGCAGATGTAAAACAGCAGTGTGTGTTGTGAGTGCTGGTCAGGTGTGTGTGTGTGCTTCAGTGTGAGTGTGTGCTTGATGCTTCTGTCAGTCTATGTGGCTCCTGTCTCTGTTCATCTAAAACTCCACATCTATAATCCTCTTAGTCTATACTGACATTATCTTCAGCAGCTCAAACACTCTAATGTTTAATGGACAGACGGCTGCTTCTCACTCAGGGCTGCTGTTTATGCTAATTAGATGGAGAGATGGGCACTAGTGGGCGGGGCTTTCCCCCTCTGAGGACACGTACAGAAGGAGAATGTCAATCAAAGTCTTTCTGCAAGTGAATATAACCCTGAAATATTGATCGTTGAAGTGTGTTGTGTTTGTTGTGCGTCAGATAGCAGATCTGGGTCTGGCCACATCTGAGGTGTGGAGTAAACTGACGAAAGAGGAGTCCCGTCGACAGAGTCGTCTGGGGAAGAAGACGAGTGCTCACGCGGCCGGGACGCTGTGCTACATGGCCCCCGAGCACCTGAAGAGCATTCACACACGCTCCAGTGAGAAATCTGACGTCTACAGCTTCGCCATCGTACTGTGGGTCATCCTGACTGGACGAGAGCCGTATGAGAGTGAGGAAAACACACACCGAAAATCAAAAACACCGAGTCAGAGCATTAAAACTACATAACACCAGACCCACTGTAGCGTCTTTGATCTGTTGTGGTGATTCTATAGTTGCTATGGTAACAGATATACTAATTGATCTGTTGAGGTGATTCTACGGTTGCTATGGTAACATAACTAGTAATTGATCTGTTGTGGTGATTCTACAGTTGCTATCGTAACATAGCTAGTAATTGATCTGTTGTGGTGATTCTACAGTTGCTATGGTAACACTTACTATAGTAATTGATCTGTTGTGGTGATTCTACAGTTGCTATGGTGACACAACATGTATGTGCTTGTTTACATGTGTGTATGTTTGCGTGTGTGTTCAGATGCAAGAAGTGAGGATCAGATCTGCCACTGTGTGTGTCAGGGTGAACGGCCTGATGAAGCGCTGATTCCCCCGAACACACCGACGGACATCACTGACCTGATGAAGAGCTGCTGGCACCAGGACCCTCTGCAGCGGCCCTCCTTCACAGGTACACACACTTAGCTTAGGTACACACAGGTACACACATCAGTTTCAGTTTGGTGTACATCAACATACTGAAAGCCCCGCCCCCTACTCAATATTCCATTTCAGTTGGAAGTAGATCAACATTCTGAACTGAAGCCCCACCTCCTGCTCAATATTCCGTTTCAGTTGGAAGTATAACAACATACTGAAAGCCCCGCCCCCTACTCAATATTCAGTTTCAGTTGAAAGTATATCAACATACTGAAAACCCCGCCCCCTACTCAATATTCAGTTTCACTAAGTACATCAACACACTTAAAGCTCCGCCCCTACTTAATATTCTGTTTAAGTTGGAAGTACATCAACATATTTAAAGCTCCTCCCCCTACTTAATATTTAGTTTCAGTTGGAGGTAAATCAACAGACTGAAAGCCCCGCCCCCACTCAATATTCAGATTCAGCAAAAAGTACATCAACCTACTGAAAGCCCCGCCCCCTACTCCAGATTTCGTTTCAGTTGGAAGTACATAAACATTCAATACTGAAAGCCCTGCCCCCTACTCAATATTCAGTTTCAGTTGAAAGTATATCAACGTACTGAAAGCCCCGCCCCCTACTCAATATTCAGTTTCACTAAGTACATCAACACACTTAAAGCTCCGCCCCTACTTAATATTCTGTTTAAGTTGGATGTACATCAACATACTTAAAGCTCCGCCCCCTACTTAATATTTAGTTTCAGTTGGAGGTAAATCAACAGACTGAAAGCCCCGCCCGCTTCTCAATATTCTACTTCAGATGGAAGTACATCAACATACTGAAATAAAGCCCCACCTCCTACTTAATATTCCATTTCACTAAGAAGTAGATCAACAGACTGAAAGCTCTGCCTCCTGCTTAATATTCCATACCAATTTGGTACATGAGGAGGTAATGAACTGATCATCTGTTTGCTGTATCTTCACAGATTGCTATAATCGGTTTTTACCTTTCTACAAGGAGAAGCTGGCAGCAAATGTCAAAGCAGATCTGGAAAATCTGATGGTGAGTTTGTTTGTATTACGTATTACGTATTTATTTTACCTCATCACAGAGATCACAAAACAAATCATATTTAATGCATTTAAGCTAATATTGAACACAAGACACATTTGCTATTTGTTAAATTTCATTATTGCTCATGATTTCTTTTCCATAGAAATTATATGAGGGGCCGGAAGAGCTTGTAGAAAAGCTGAAATTGCTCAACACAAATGCACTCATTCCTGAAGGTAAGCTGATGTGTTCATGAAAATTTTCTTGGTTATCATTATCAGACACAGATAGATCACCCTAAAATAAGAATAAAAGGTAATAACAAAAATGAACATGTTTAACAAGGACATCAGTAATCAGATTATTTATCTTAATCTAAATAAGGCAGTAATATGATCAGGGTGTTTATAGAGTTGCTTTTAGAAAGTATACTTCATGTTCACATTTGACCTGTTATAGTACATAGATTGTTTACCATCATTAATCACCAATGTTGATTAATATCCATCATCATTAATATCCAATGTTTCCTCCAGAGTTTGTGTCATTTTAAGTGTTTCACTTTCATTTTCTATTTACTTCAAATGCAGTTCAGCAGTTACAATTTCATTTAGGAACCTTTCATTCATGACCCCTGACAAACTGAGCTACTGAATGTAAGCATTAATAAGCCCACCGTAAATTACTGATAGCCTCCCCCATAATGATGGATAACCCGCCCTAAAGGACTGATAGCTCTGCCCTAAAGGACTAATAGCCCCACCCTAAAGGACTAATAGCCCCACCCTAATTGACTAAAAGCCCCACCCTAAAGGACTGATTGCACTGTCCTAAAGCACTGATAGCCTGCCCTAATTAACTGATAGCCCCGCCCTAAAGGACTGATAGCCCCACCCTAATCAGCTGAAAGCCCCACCTTAAATAACTGTTTGCCCCGGCCTAATTAACTGATAGCCCTGCTCTAAATTACTGAGAGCACCACCCTAATTGACTGATAGCCCCGCCCTAAAGGACTGATAGAGGACTGAAAGCCCCACCCTAATTGACTGGTAGAACCATCCAAATTGACTTATAGCCCCACCCTAAAGGACTGAGAGCGCCACCCTAATTGACTGATAGCCATGCCCTAAAGGACTGATAGCCCCACCCTGATTAACTGATAGACCTGTCCTAATTGAATTAAAGCCCCGCCCCAAAGAACTGAGAGCGTTACCCTAATTGCCTGTTAGCCATGTCCTAATTGACTGATAGCCCTGCCCTTAAGGACTGATAGACCAACCCTAAAAGACTGATAGCCCCACCCTAATTAACTGATAGCCCCACAATAATTGACTGATAGCCCCACCTTAAAAGACTGATAGCCCCACCCTAAAAGACTGATAGCCTCACAATAATTGACTGATAGCCCCGCCCTAATTGACTGATAGCCCTGCCCTTAAGGACTGATAGACCCACCCTAAAAGACTGATAGCCCCGCCCTAATTAACTGATAGCCCCACAATAATTGACTGATAGCCCCACCTTAAAAGACTGATAGCCCCGCCCTAATTAACTGATAGCCCCACAATAATTGACTGATAGCCCCGCCCTAATTGACTGATAGCCCTGCCCTTAAGGACTGATAGACCCACCCTAAAAGACTGATAGCCCCGCCCTAATTAACTGATAGCCCCACAATAATTGACTGATAGCCCCACCTTAAAAGACTGATAGCCCCGCCCTAATTAACTGATAGCCCCACAATAATTGACTGATAGCCCCACCCTAAAAGACTGATAGCCCCGCCCTAATTGACTGATAGCCCCGCCCTAATTGACTGATAGCCCCACAATAATTGACTGATAGCCCCACCCTAAAAGACTGATAGCCCCGCCCTAATTGACTGATAGCCCCACAATAATTGACTGATAACTCCACCCTAAAAGACTGATAGCCCCGCCCTAATTAACTGATAGACCCACCCTAATTGGCTGTTAGCCCTGTCCTAACTGACTGACAAATAAAATCGGGATACTCCACATGTCCTAATTTGATTTGTGTTTACTGCGATGACTTTATTCAGATGAAGGTCATGAGAAATCTCTGTTTACATGGCAGACTCTTAATCAGAGAATTGTTTTAATCATATAAAACCGGATTGTTGTCCATGTAAACATACTGAACTCTACATCAGATGTTTGTCAATGCAGTATGATGGTTGTTGTGTCCGCAGACCCTTCGCTGTGCTCCAGAGACTCTCCGACGCCACTGAGGAGCTCAGATATAGGCCCGGTGGAGGCCAGCATTGAAGACCTGAGCTTCAGGTCCTGTGAAGACTCTGTGCTGGAGGCCGACGCAACTCCCAGCTGTCCCAATCTGGAGCTCAAACTGGAGCAGGAGTACAACTACCACAAATTCGGCAGTCGAATCGTGGACCAGTCAGACGGGAGTATGTGGAGTCCAGCACAGCAGCCGGCCAGCAGCACAGATGCTTCTTCGCAGATGTCTTCAGTGAAGTCCTGGACCAAACCATCAGCTCCAAGCACTGAGGAGGAGCTGTATCCCAGAGCGGCTGCGTCGTTTGATAGTTTACACAGGCCCGAATTGAGGAGTCAGTTTTCAGTGCCACAATCTGATCATGAGAGACTTCGGCCGCATGCTCATTTGCCATGGAATCGGGTCAAGTCCTGTCCGGAGGGAGCAAATCATGTGGCAGAGTCTCTTATAGATACAAACTCCAACCTTCGCTTTAACTCACCTGTCACATATCCTGCATCAGACTCAGGTAGAGTTAACAAATGAACTATTAACAGCGCATGCCTGCAAACCCATTGGCCTTTTGGGAAATGTTCAGCTCAGACATTGAAATTAACAAGATTTGTGCCAATTTCAGATACCTTTCCACACCATTAAACAGATGATTCTAAATTTAACCACCTCTTAAACCAAATTATACCAATACTACTAAAGAAATCCTTAACCTAATCACGATCGCAGTTATGTCTCATCCGAACCAGTGCTTAAACCCATCAATACAACTTAACCGGTCCATAACCTTAACCAACACCAACCATAACAACTTAGACACAGAAATTCCCATAATTAGTGCAAATTGAGATGCATACCCATACAATTGAACAGATATCTCTAAACCTAACCACCTCTTAAACCAAATCATACAGGTAAACCTGTCTCTAAAGTAACCAACTCATGAACCTACCAATACTACTAAAGAAATCCCTAACCTTGACCAACCCATAGCACCAAACGTGTCTCTAACCTCAATAATGCCATAAATCATAGCAGAAAGTCTGTTCCAAACATTAACCAACTGTTAAACCTGTCCCTGACCCTGTCGAGTCCTTTTTGCCCAAAGCCAAATTGATTACACAATTTACGTACACAGTAAGTACAGTACATAATCGATCAAGTTTGCTTTCCCCGGCTATTGAACCCAAAGCTTTGGTGTTTTTAGCACCATTGTTAAAATATTTGATTTAACGAAATCCCCATCCATACCTCTAAACCTGTCCCTAATCTTAACCAAAGGTAAACCCATCCATAACACTAAACCTGTCCCTAACCTTAACCAAAGGTAAACCCATCCATAACACTAAACCTGTCCCTAACCTTAACCAAAGGTAAACCCATCCATAACACTAAACCTGTCCCTAACCTTAACCAAAGATAAACCCATCCATAACACTAAACCTGTCCCTAACCTTAACCAAAGATAAACCCATCCATAACTCTAAACCTGTCCCTAACCTTAACCAAAGATAAACTCATCCATAACACTAAACCTGTCCCTAACCTTAACCAAAGATAAACTCATCCATAACACTAAACCTGTCCCTAACCTTAACCAAAGATAAACTCATCCATAACACTAAACCTGTCCCTAACCCTAACCAAAGATAAACCCATCCATAACTCTAAACCTGTCCCTAACCTTAACCAAAGATAAACCCATCCATAACTCTAAACCTGTCCCTAACCTTAACCAAAGATAAACCCATCCATAACTCTAAACCTGTCCCTAACCTTAACCAAAGATAAACCCATCCATAACTCTAAACCTGTCCCTAACCCTAACCAAAGATAAACCCATCCATAACACTAAACCTGTCCCTAACCTTAACCAAAGATAAACCCATCCATAACTAAACCTGTCCCTAACCTTAACCAAAGATAAACCCATCCATAACTCTAAACCTGTCCCTAACCTTAATCAAAGGTAAACCCATCCATAACACTAAACCTGTCCCTAACCTTAACCAAAGATAAACCCATCCATAACACTAAACCTGTCCCTAACCTTAACCAAAGGTAAACCTATCCATAACACTAAACCTGTCCCTAACCTTAACCAAAGATAAACCCATCCATAACTCTAAACCTGTCCCTAACCTTAACCAAAGGTAAACCTATCCATAACACTAAACCTGTCCCTAACCTTAACCAAAGATAAACCCATCTATAACACTAAACCTGTCCCTAACCTTAACCAAAGATAAACCCATCCATAACACTAAACCTGTCCCTAACCTTAACCAAAGATAAACACGTCCATAACACTAAACCTGTCCCTAACCTTAACCAAAGGTAAACCTATCCATAACACTAAACCTGTCCCTAACCTTAACTGAAGGTAAACCCATCCATAACACTAAACCTGTCCCTAACCTTAACCAAAGATAAACTCATCCATAACACTAAACCTGTCCCTAACCTTAACCAAAGATAAACCCATCCATAACTCTAAACCTGTCCCTAACCTTAACCAAAGGTAAACCTATCCATAACACTAAACCTGTCCCTAACCTTAACCAAAGATAAACTCATCCATAACACTAAACCTGTCCCTAACCTTAACCAAAGATAAACCCATCCATAACTCTAAACCTGTCCCTAACCTTAACCAACACCAACTTTAACAATTTACAAAGTAATGACAACTTAGACATTGAAATTAGCGTAATGTGTGCAAATTCGATGCATTGCCATACAATTTACCAAGTCTAAAATCCTAACCTATCAATAAACAAGTGCCTTAATATTGTCAAATTGATCTGTAGTAAAACATGAATGCATAGTACCCATCAGTTAACATTTAGGATGCTGTCCTGGAACTGTACTCTAACTTGTGTTTTCCTTTAGCTTTTCCTGTGAGCATCTCGAATGCCAGTGCGATTCAGATCGGGAGTTACAACACAATGAATCTGCGAATATCTGACAGCAGCCCCTACAGCTCATTCTCTACTACAGGATCCACCACCAGCAGATACAAAGAGCTTCTACTGATGTACGGTAAGACAGCTGTTTGGACCAGACGTCACTCACTTTAACGATAATATGGTAAAACAAAATGCCTGCAAATGAATTGTTTTATATGACTTCGTTTAGAAATTGAATGTATGATTATTTGTTGTTATGTTATGCATTCAACCTTATTACTTATAAGTGTAAAACACAGCTATTGTCAAGTTTGTGTAAACATTAAAATACAATTATTTGTATTATTTGTTATTATATCAACATACTGAGACAAAGCCTTGACCCTGCGCAATGTTTATTTTCAGTTGGAAGTACATTAACATTCTGAAATAAAGCCCAGCCCTTACTCAGTATTCTGTTTCAGTTGGATGTACATCAACATACTACAATTGAGCCCCACACCATACTGGAAGTAAATCAACATACTGAAATAAAGCCCCGCCCCCTACTCAATATTCAGTTTCAGTTGGAAGTACATCAACATACTTAATAAAGCCCCGCCCCTTAATCAATATGTTTATCAGCATACTGATATAGAGCACCGCCCCTACTCAATATTCAGTCTCAGTTGGAAGTACATCAACACACTGAAATAAATCCCCACCCCCTACTCAATATTCAGTTTCAGTTGGAAGTACATCAACATACTAAAATAAAGCCCCTCCCCAAATCAATATGTACATTAACATACTAAAAAATGAAGCCCTGCCCCCTACTCAATATTCAGTCTCAGTTGGAAGTACATTAACACTGAAATAAAGCCCTGCCCCTATTTAATATTCAGTTTTAGTTAGAAGTACATCAACATACTGAAATAAAGCCCCGCCCCTACTCAATATGTACATCAGCATACTGAAATAAAGCCCCGCCCCTACTCAATATTCTGTTTCAGTTTGAAGTACATCAACATACTAAAATAAAGCCCCTCCCCAAATCAATATGTACATTAACATACTAAAGAATGAAGCCCCGCCCCCTACTCAATATTCAGTTTTATTTGGAAGTACATCAACATTCTGAAATAAAGCCCCGCCCTCTACTCAATATTCTTTTTTAGTTGGAAGTGCATTCACATACTAAAATAAAGCCCCGCCCCCTACTCAATATTCTGTCTCAGGTGCAAGTGCATCAACATACTGAAATAAAAGTCTCTGCAACTTCCTGTCTACACAGAATTAAATGTGACTTTTTAATTATTTTTGTTGTTTGTCTTGAGCAGAGACTTACTTAATAAAACTTACTTAATAAAACCCCACCCCTTAATCAATATGTATAACAGTATACTGATATAGAGCACCGCCCCTACTCAATATTCAGTCTCAGTTGAAAGTGCATCAACACACTGAAATAAAGCCCCGCCCCTATTTAATATTCCGTTTCAGTTGGAAGTAAATCAACACACTGAAATAAAGCCCCACCCCCTACTTAATATTCAGTTTCAGTTAGAAGTACATAAGCATACTAAAATAAAGCCCCGCCCCTACTCAATATGTACATCAGCATTCTGAAATAAAGCCCCGCCCCCTACTCAATATTCAGTTTAGGTTTGAAGTACATCAACAAACTAAAATAAAGCCCCTCCCCAAATCAATATGTACATTAACATAGTAAAAAATAAAGCCCCGCCCCCTGCTCAATATTAAGTTTCATTTGTAAGTGAGCCCTGCCCCCTACTCAATATTCAGTTTCAGTTTCAAGTGCATTAACATACTGAAATAAAGCCCCACCCCCTACTCAATATTCATTTACAGTTGGAAGTGCATTAACATACTGAAATAAAGCCCCACCCCCTACTTAATATTCAGTTTTAGTTGGAAGGGCATTAACATACTGAAATAAAGCCCCACCCCCTACTCAATATTTAGTTTCAGTTGGAAGTGCATTCACATACTAAAATAAAGCCCCACCCCCTACTCAATATTCAGTTTCGGTTGTAAGTGCATTCACATACTGAAATAAAGCCCTGCCCCCTACTCAATATTCAGTTTCAGCTGTAAGTGCATCAACGTACTGAAATAAAAGTCTCTGCAACTTCCTGTCTACACAGAATTAAATGTGACTTTTTTATTATTGTTGTTATTTGTCTTGAGCAGAGAGCCACACGGTCACCGAGAGTCACCTGGAGCTGGTGCGGCAGAACGTGGGTGCAAACTGGAAGCAAGTGGCTCGTAAACTGGGTCTGAGCGAAATCGATGTGGAGACCATCGAGCACGACTACGACCGCGACGGTTTGACGGAGAAAGTTCACCAGATGCTGGAGCGCTGGAAGATGCGGGAGGGTCTGATGGGCATCACCGTGGGTAAACTGTGCCAAGCGCTCGAGGGCTGCATCAAACCCAACGCCCTCCTGCACATGCTGCGCCAGCTGCAAGATTCCGCCGCCGCCCCGTAAAAAATATACACACCCGACGACTGTTGTGTCTTTATCAGGTTTGAGAATTTTAACCCTCCTGTTGTCTCGAATTGTGTATACAGCGTTCATCATGAGGGTCAGAAGAGCCGTCTTTAATAATAAAGCAGATCAGTTTAATATCAATCCTCAAATCTGTTCTGCATGAAGGAACCAGCTGATCTTCATCACACACTCTGCTAATGTTTGGGTTTCCCTCATCAGTGTGCAGTGTGTGTGTTAGTAGTTTTTATGGTGTATAAATGGCTTTATACACTCACCGGCCACTTTATTAGGTACACCATACTCGTACTGGGTTGGACCCCTTTTGCCTTCAGAACTGCCTTAATCCTTCATGGCAGAGATTCAACAAGCTACTGGAAATATTCCTCAGAGATTTTGCTCCATATTGTCATGATAGCATCACACAGTTGCTGCAGATTTGTCGGCTGCACATCCATGATGCCAATCTCCCGTTCCACCACATCCCAAAGCTGCTCTATTGGATTGAGCTCTGGTGACTGTGGAGGCCATTTGAGTACAGTGAACTCATCGTCATGTTCACCAGTCTGAGATGATTGAGCTTTATGACATGCTGCGTTATCCTGCTGGAAGTAGCCATCAGAAGATGGAGACACTGTGCTCATAAAGGGATGGACATGGTCAGCAGCAATACTCAGGTAGGCTGTGGCGTTGATGCTCAATTGGTACTAATGGACCCAAAGAAAATCTCCCCCACACCATTACACCACCACCACCAGCCTGAACCGCTGATACAAGGCAGGATGATCCATGCTTTCATGTTGTTGAGGGCGAAGTGTGAGCCGAGCATCTGAATGTGTCAGCAGAAATGGAGACTCATCAGAGCAGCAGCGTTTCTCCAATCTTCTATTGTCCAGTTTTGGTGAGTCTGTGTGAATTGTAGCCTCAGTTTCCTGTTCTTAGCTGACAGGAGCGGCACCCGGTGTGCTCTTCTGCTGCTGTAGCCCATCCGCCTCAAGGTTGGCCGTGTTGTGTGTTCAGAGATGCTCTTCTGCAGAGCTCGGTTGTAACGAGTGCTTATTTGAGTTACTGTTGCCTTTCTATCAGCTGAACCAGTCTGGCCATTCTCCTCTGACCTCCGGCATCAACAAGGCATTTGCGCCCACAGAACTGCCGCTCACTGGATATTTCCTGTTTGTCGGAGCATTCTCTGTAAACCCTAAAAATGGTTGTGCGTGAAAATCCCAGTAGATCAGCAGTTTCTGAAATACTCAGAGCAGCCCGTCTGGCAGCAACAACCATGCCCCATTGAAAGTCTCTTATATCCCCTTTCCTCCCCCATTCTGATGCTCGCTCTGAACTGCAGCAGATCCTCTTGACCATGTCTACACGCCTAAATGCAGTGAGTTGCTGCCATGTGATTGGCTGATTAGAAATTTGCGTTAACCAACAGTTGGACAGGTGTACCTAATACAGTGTAGCTGGTGGTTAACATTGACCCGAAGGACAACCGTTGTGCCTTAAATGTGTTCATCCTTCATAAAAACGATTAATTTGATCTATTTTAGGAAAAGTCACCAAACTTCAAGATAAAAAAAAAAACAGTTTACTTTTTTTTCTGTTGTTAAAATGTGTCCAGGATCATTTTTGACCCGTAAGTCAACAGGAGGGTTAATAGCTCAGTTCACCCAAAAAGGGAAACTCTATCACCATCATTTATCAGCCCTTCACTTGCTCCAAACCTGTTTGTGTTGTTTTTTCGTTCTGTTGAACACAAAAGTAGACATTTTGAAGAATGTTAGAAACCTGTAACCATTGACTTCCACAGTATTTGTAGTAAATAATGACTGAATTGTCATTTTTGGGTGAACTATCCCTTTAATGAATGTGGGGAAGGACTGAACTGGGTGGATCTGCGAGGTTATATGCACCCAGTGTCATTCAATTATTTTCTTTCTGCTTAGTGCCTTTATTCAATAGGGGTCGCCACAGCGGAATGAACCGCCAACTATTCCCGCATACATTTATAACTTCCAGTACTAGGAAACACCCATACACACTCATTAACACACACACTCATACAATACGACCAATTCAGTTGATCAATTCCCCTATTCACCTTATTCTCCGCAGACGAGCGGGCGCAGCCATTTGAATCATTTTGGCTCAAGACTTCCGGTCTCATTCACTTCCATTCATTTTTAGACGTTAAAAACAGCTCGTTCTGCTGACTGATGTTGCAAACTGATATTTTCGTATTATATTTTTCTACTTTGTTCTGTATAGTCATGCAAAAACTTGTTTGTAGAGCGAGTTCTAAAACAATCGCGAAAACAAGCGCACATCCATATTGTCAAATAAGGTCAATAGCGCATGTGTTTGGACTGTGGGGGAAACCGGAGCACCCGGAGGAAACCCACGCCAACACGAGGAGAACATGCACACTCCACAAAGAAACGCCAACTGACCCAGCTGGGACTTGAACCAGCGACCTTCTTGCTGTGAGGTGACAGTGCTAACCACTGTGCCACCGTGCTGCCCGTTTTCAGTAATAATGAGTCAAATTAAGTGAGTTTGGACCTCTTTTTACAAAAGTAGATATTTTGAAGAATGTTTTGTATTGCTCTGTGTTGCTTTAGGAAAATAAAAATATAATATTTAAAAAAAAAAAAAACACTATGGAAGTCAATGGTTACTGGTTTCTAAGAAACCTGTAACCATTGACTTCCATAGTGTTTTTTTTTTAAATATTATATTTTTATTTTCCTAAAGCAACACAGAGCAATACAAAAAGCAGCAACAATTATAAAGACAAAAAGCACAAAAGACAGAGAACCCATTATCACATCAGTTCCTCCAGTATTAGACATGGGTCAGCAATGTTACACGTATATATCTAGGCCAATGGGCGCAGGCAATATGCTGATCTTGCTGACGATGGCAGGGTTATACCTTAAAACTGTTATCCTGGGCATTTAACAAATAATTAAAAAAGGGTTTCCAGGTGGCTTCAAAGCGGGCGATGTTATCAGAAAGATTGTGTTGACTTCAATAGGATGTGTAGTAAATGACTGAATTGCCATTTTTGAGTTTACAAAGGGGGCATAATAGGCCATCCAAAAGCATCCACTGTAAAACAAATGCCGGAGAAGTTGTTGGTTCATTCCTCTGTGGTGACCCCTGATGAATAAAGGCGACTAAGCCGAAGGAAAACGAAGACAGAAACTCAACAGACAGCAGCTTTCACCCTTATTTTCGTTGGCGAAAAAAACCCTGCACACAACCTTTGTCAAACAGTGAACAATCCAAAAGCTGTGTCTAATCGATCTCACCTGTTCCCAAAAATAAAGGTACGTGAGCACTGAGCAGTCACTGTCATTAATACCTCAAGGGTGCATATTAGTACCTAGTGCTCCTCTTAAAAGTTTTAGGTACTAATATGCGCCCTTAAAGTATTAATATGGACCTTTTAGGTACCTTTTGAAGAGGTACCAGCCCAGTGACAGCTGCCGTACCTTTATTATGAGAGTGTGTGAGCATGTTCTGAATGCATTTACAGCATTCAGTTCAATTCAAGTGTCATTTTCCTAAACGTATCTCTTTTTTGTGGTCCGACATCGCTAGTGGTGATCACAGAATGCATCATTGGGATGTTTTCAGCTGTAGATGAGAGTATAATGCAGTACTGTATACAGTAGATGGGTGTTAAATGTAGCTTCACAGTGGCACCAGGGCATTGACTGTACACTCTTAAATATATCGTTGTTTATTGGCATTGGTGTTGACGGCTTCTTGAAGAACGTTTAACATCTATAGATGATCAGAGTGCAATATTCATAGTGGAATGGGATGCACTTTGTGGTTCTGGGTGTATTAATCTCATCCCTCCCCATCAACAGAGCTTTATTATCCATGAACCAAAGATAACAGCATTACAAACTTTAATGTGAAGCTGAGAATGATATGGAAATCACCCAGAAAGCCAAAGATACAAGTCAAGAATATCAAATTAACAGCTTTATTTCAGTGAAACAACTACAATCCCATGAAGCCTGGTGAATGCACGCCTGACTAGTCTAATTGAAAGCAATTTAGGGATTAAAAACAGCTTAAATCAGTCGGTTGTATTTGTAAATAGCTATATTTTCAAGTAATCTTTGTATTTCAGTAAAGGGAGACTCGTTTGTGGTGCCTTATGGAAGTGGGCGGAGTTAAATGTGTATTTTGTTGCAGCGCTCTGATTGGTGGAGTGCGGCATCATGGGTAATGTAGTTTGCATTTAGATTGTTTGCAGCCTGAAATTAAGTCTGCTATCAAGCATGAATGTGATTGCAGTTAAAAGGCGCCTACTATGCAAAAATCACTTTTATAAGGGGTTTAAACACCATCATGTGGCGACGATCTGTAAATATAACCAGCTTCTATAACGGTGAAAGTGAACTCATTGTATATTTTAATCAGACTTGATAGAATCAGTCTGCAGAAACACTTTGATTGACACTCTGCCTTTGTATGATGTCATCAGATGGGGGAAGCCCCGCCCACTAGTGATATATGCATATTTCAACAATGATTTGTAACAGTGATATAAATAAATATATTTGGGGATTTTCTGTCTGTGGCTTTTGTTATAAACGTGTCCTCCTCAGTCAATCATTATAACGTCAAAGTGTGAATTAACAGTTTAATTGACCACAGCAGTGGTTTTATATCCCTTACATTAGATTCATTTGTTGGGTTTCAAACCATACACTTATTCTGTGCATTAATATTCATCTGTGTTGTGTATTTTATAAGGTTATTTTATCACCCATCATCAGAATCAGTGGCTCTTTCACAGTCGAGTCCAATATTTCATACTTCATTCGTTTAATTAAGTGCATAATCCAGAGATTTAAAGTGGACAAGTAGGCCTATCTAAATCTAATTAAGTACATTTGACTGTTTTCCCTGCTGACAAATCTGCCTTAAACCAGCCTAGGCTGGTTTTAGCTGGTTGACCAGCCTGGTTTTAGAGGGGTTTCGGCCATTTCCAGGCTGGTTTCAGCCATTTTCCAGTCAGGTCTTAGCTGGTCAGGGTAGAAAATGACCATCCAAAACCAGCTAAAACTATTTTGACCAGCCTGGTTTAAGCTGGATTAAGTTGGTTTTGGCTGACCCAGCCTGGCTAAGCTGGGTTTTTGGTCATCTCCCAGCCTGACCAGCTAAGACCAGGCTGGAAATGGCTGAAACCAGCCTGGAATGGCCAAAAACCCCTCCAAAAGCAGATTGATCAACCAGCTAACCAGCCTAGGCTGGTTTAATGAATATTTTGACATTACTGTGAGGCTTGGGTAGCGGTAGGTGTTAAGTTGCTTTAACACAATCTCCATTGTAAAGCTCTAGAGAAATAAAGTTTAATTGTTAATTAGTGGGTAATTTAATAAATAACATCAGCAATACTCTGTATAACTGCTGTTTTTACATTACTGTGAGGGTTGAGTTTGGGGTTAGAGTAATGGTAGACGTTAATAAAATACAAATAATGGGTAATTTAAAAAATAATGTAAATAATTCCCTGGTTAACTTCGGGCCGCAGCTGTATCCCTTCTAGCAACAACCGAAGTTTTCCGAGCATATCCGAACCCGCGCGAGAGACGAAACTCTTGCGTCACATGATCTGAAAGATTGATCACATGACTCTGTCACTACATGCGCGGACGAGGAGGAGTTTAGTCCAAAACAACAATATAATTTAACGAAAAAGAAAGCGCTACAGGATTATTAAACAAACAGTTTCGTAATTAAAGCAATTAGCATTATTCGTTTGACCTGCTCTGGAACAATTAGTCAGCAAAACTGCAGCTATTTACTCGTAAGTAGCATATTAGCAGTGAGAAGCGTGATTGTTTCACATGTAGTACTGCTAATGTTACTCAGACCATAACAAACATGACTTCACCCTCAAGATAATCAACATTTGCTGATTGAAATACATGTTTAAAAGCATGCAAAGCAGATTAGATGTATGATATCAGATATAACGAATCAAATAAACCACAATAAACTGAATAAAATGTTCAATCAGCATCAACAAACCACTTAAAAACACTAATATAAATACTGACTGACTATTTTATCACTATAACTATTTGGCTTAATACTAATTAATATAAACTGTTGCTGCACAATATTGGGGGAAAATACATAACCATATTTAGCTTTTCTGCTAGATTTATTTTGAGACTAAATCTTTTTAACCGGATGGCTTGAATAACCTGGTGAAAATTAGTTGTTTTAGAAAGATTGCAGTGATTTTAGTGCATCTGCCTAATGTATAATAAACTAGATAAATACAGAAAAGATACAAAAGATCAAATAAAATTGTGCTTTTATCATAGTTTATTAAGAAGTCTTAGTAATCAGCAACAGATATGGAATAATCAAATGTAAAACAACACTTTATAGTCTTCACTGTTTAATGTAAATGCATTTAAATGCCACACATGCACCTTGCGCATGAATGCTTCAAACTCGCATAAAACACTTTATAATGACTATTAATTGCAATTAATCTACAAATTGCATGCATTTCAAATCAATTTAATCCCTATTTGACATTGCACATTTTGCAATGATGTGACTACTGTGGATGTGCACACATATACGCTGTATAAACATGACATATTACAGAATATTCTGGTCGTTGTTAAAACTAATAGGGTGAAACGTATTAAAGGAATCATGCTAAAATGTACAGGTTTGGTGATTTATGAGCAGCATTTCTTGTTTATATGTTTATATATATCTGCTTTTTGTTCCTCAGGTTTGGTTCTTATGTAGAAGTGGATCCTGTTGATCAGGAAATATGTGAAGCTGCCGATACCTTCATAATAAAACACTGATGCGGACTTTATTAAAGAGGGGACTGAAGATATGAGTGATTCAGAATCATCACAGATAATAAATGAAGATGAACACGAGGCACAAAGAGGTTTGAAGCTTTTTTTATTTACAGTACTGTTTTGAACATTATTTCACTCTTCCCTGCTGAAAAATCCAGCTCAAACCAGCCTAGGCTGGGTGGCTGGTTTTAGCTGGTCGACCAGGCTGGTTTTAGAGGGGTTTTGGCCACTTCCAGGCTGGTTTCCAGCCATTTCCAGCCTGGTCTTAGCTGGTCAGGCTGGGAGATGACCAGCTAAAACCAGCTTGACCAGCCTAGCCAAGCTGGGAGTCCAGCCAAAACCAGCTATATCCAGCTTAAACCAGGCTGGTCAAGCTGGTTTTAGCTGGATTTGGCTGGTAATTTTCCAGCTTGACCAGCTAAGACCAGGCTGGAAATGGCTGGAAACCAGCCTGTAAGTGGCCAAAACCCCTCTAAATCAGCCTGGTCAACCAGCTAAAACCAGCCAACCAGCCTAGGCTGGTTTAAGCTGGATTTTTCAGCAGGGTTATTCTGACTTTATATTTTCACTAATGTTATTTGAAGGGTCACTCTACAGAAATATCCTCTTGTGGTTTGGCAAAATGCCTTAAAACCCGTTACTTTTTTGAATGTACCACATTACATTTACATGCCAATTTGCAATTAATGATTAGTTGTTTGTCCTGTCTCTAATTCTGTTGCACTGTAAAAGCTCTAACACCAAAACAAATTCCCCGTATGTGTGAACCAAGCGGCGACCTCCCGCTCTCCCTCAGGAAGCCAATACGGAAGTAACTAAAACTGCAATTCATCCGAAATTCCGCTAGTCCTGGCCGCTCCTGACTCCATAATAGAGCAAATTTCAGTTGAGTCCACTGTTAGAATGGCCAACTTTACAGCAGAAGAAAAGGTGTTTACAGCCTGCTACAAGAAAAGATTTTGTTTAATACAGCTAATATTACCCTTCATGACAACTGTGAGGGGGTGAATTTTTTTATAACTCATCCGTTTCCTTTATATTAAGTTTGCATAATTAAGGGCGTGGCCACTTGAGTGACAGCTAGGTCTTGTTGGTCGCCGTCACGTCACCTCAGCTGAATCCTGCAGATTAGCCACTGAACTCGGCATATTTATCGTATTTCTGTGTTGTTTTGTGTGGCTTTACACAGTCGACTGCCTTTTGGACTTGTTTCCTACAATTATTAGATGGCATGGCATGCTGAGTGCACTTAATTGTGCTCACAAACCATTCATGCAGCCTCCGTTTCCCATGTGAGTAAAGTTATAGACTTATATACCATCTCTATACATGTATTGGTTTTATTTAAGATCATTTATATTTATATTTAGAGCTGTAATGCACTGCAGAATCTGACAGATTGATTAGCTGTGGGCTCTAGATCAGTCATCTGAAGTGTTGTCATACAGTGTTATGCTGGAGTTCATCAATAGTCTTACATTAACTAACACAGACTATATCTGAAGTGTTTGGAAGTCATTCGCATTTTCCTCCTGTTGAAAAGCGTCACTAGAACAATGTTTAGTTGCTCAGTGTATTACAGCAGTGTGTGTTTAAAAGTCTGAACACTTTATTGATATAGTGTAGAGCCGAGCACAAGTGGTCAGAACACAAACGAGTCGCAGGTGATGAAGTATTAAGCGTTCTCCCAAAGTAAAGTGTGTCTGAACCAGGTCTAAGCTAAATGCCAGCAGGTGTCTGTAGCTCCGCCCACTCTCCGCCTCTTTGCCCTTGTTTGGTATCCCGCCGTGGGTGTGATGACGCGCGAACAAAATGGCGACGGTTGGCCACGCCTACTTGTGGCTTCTATCGCGCTCTTTAGAAACCTATGGGTAACGTCACGGACACTACGTCCATATATTTTACAGTCTATGGTGTGAACATACCTGGCAATAAAGCTCTTTCTGATTCTGAATATTCAATTACGTTCACCTAAATCAAGAAGCATTTTCTAGACAAGCAAACTATACGGTATTGTTCTACAAACCCCAAATCAGAAACAAAAGCTGGGGCAGTATGATAAACCTGAAATAAAATAAAAAGTGATTTCTAAATTTACTGTGATTTGTATTTCGCTGCAGACAGCACGACAAATATTATTTAAATGTTTTGTTTTTTTTCAAAATAAACACATATTACATTTTTGCAACACATTTCAAACAAAGTTGGAGCAGTAAAGCACTTTGTAGTGTTGCCGTTCCTTTTCACAACACTTCAAAGACGTTTAGGGACTGAAGACAGCAAGTGATGAAGTGTTTCAGGTGTCATAAAAGTGGGCGTGTCCAGCTTTGTTTAGGGGGAGTGTCAGAGGAACTAAAGTGGGATGGTGTGGGAGTGTCTATTTGGGCGCGCACGAGTTTTAGAGTCAAAACACACACCCACAGTGGAGAAAGTGACTGTGTTTACATGGACATCTGTAGTCAAATTATTTGCCAAATGATTAAATGTTGGACTTTAACTGCAGTTTGGCTCTTTCATTCAGGGAATTCATTCATGTCCCTCGCGACAAACGAGATATTTGATTCGAGGAACTGCTCTAAGCGTGTATTTGTCATGCAATGTTTGATACCGCACGGCGAATGAGAAAAAAAAACTCCGCATTTCCCGGAAACTTAGATGCACACGGCAGGTAGCGTCAGAAAGCCGCATGTGTTATTCCGGTCACTAAATGCGGTGAAAACCCTACACGAGGTTAAAGTTTGGTTGCTAACGTGTTTACACTCTGTGCAATAGTTAACTTAGTTCGATACGAACAAACTGAATAAACAAAGAGCGCTGGTCGCTCACTTACCAAATCTGTAGAGACAGAACAATCACCAGCAACTAGAGCCGCGTCTTTATTAAGAGGAGACTACAAGCGAATCCGGATCCCAGCGTTTGCAGATGAGAACAGCTCTCAGGTAAACAATAATCCTCCTTAGACACGTAAGTTATTGTTGTGGAGCGTCGCGTACACTGTTAATCCACACGTGAGTCTGCGCTCTCACAGAGAGAAAATGAAAACAAAACTGAACTGCAGCAAACTATAAAAGCAACACTTCACGCTTGTTTTGCCAACACAACGTGGCGTCTCTGTCGTATAAACACTGTGACAGTAATGAATATTAATGAAGTTGCACAATAGAGCGCGCTGATTGGTTTGAACCAAGCTTTACTCATGCATTAATGCAGCACACTGTAAGACGTAATAAGACACACTCTGGCACAGGCGTCCAGTCTGCACGCTGGAATACACGCTATTATGTCATGACCGTGACGCAGCTTCAAAAATTAGTTTCAAACAGGAAGTACGAATTAGCTTGAAATAACGCAAAAACAACCAATTTACACTTTTTAGTGAAATATAGGTGTCCTAATAGTGTTTTTAGCAGTGTGGGACACATATCACTGTCAACAGCTCAACACATGTGTTCTGGTGTTTCGTGACCCTTTAAATTGGTTACATTAATTTCAAAATAATATTCATAGTCGAATGATATCCAATTTTCCCATGTTTGCCGTTTTGGGTGTATCTTGTATCCCGAATTTTCAGTTTTGGTTTCGACCCATAATTTTAATATCAATATTTAATATAATAATAATAATAATAATATTTTTATTTGTTTATTTTAGACTCTGAGGAGGCAACAGAGGACAATCAAGAACCAGATGAAGACGACCAAGACTATCAGAAGACCCAAATCATCACAGATGGCCAAAACAAATCAGAAATCACGAGTCGAGAAAAACCAAAGAGGCCTGAAGCGCGTCCGTTCAGATGCCTGCAGTGTGGAAAGACCTTCAAAAGAGCTACGGATGTGAAGAGTCACCTGCGCTACCATTCAGGCGAGAGACCGTTCACCTGCGATCAATGCGGGAAGAAGTTCATCCTAGCGTCTCACCTGAAGACTCACCTGTCCGTGCACACCCACGAGAAGCCCTTCCTGTGCTCGATTTGCGGGAAGAGTTTCACGCGGCTCTTCACGTTTAAAGATCACGAGAACATCCACAGCGGCGTCCGGGCGTTCAGCTGCCCCGACTGCGGGAACACCTTCATCACCGCAAACGCGCTGAAGATGCACCAGCGGGTTCACACCGGCGAAAAACCCTACAAGTGTTCACACTGCGGCCGCAGATTCAGCCATTCCGGAGGACTGCGGAGACACGAGCGCATTCACACCGGAGAACGGCCGTATCACTGTCCCCTCTGCGGACGGAGATTCACTCAATCCAGCAACCTGCTGACACACGCCAAACGCCACTGTCCCAAGTCACGCTAGCAGAACGATAACCACTGATGTTAAACTTATATACCGTTGAAAGCAAAAGTTTACATCCACTGTATAATAAGGCAGGGGGTCTCAACTGGTTTGCCCATGGGACCCACATTTTTACATGGTCATCAGGCCGCGACCCAAATTTTTAGAAACTATAATACAACTTTAGGAGTTATAATTAACTTGTATTTATTTGTTAACATACACAAGTAGTGACAGATAAATTATAAGACATTCATAGAGACTTAGGCCGTACTCACACTAGGTACAGATGCCTCGAACCGGGCCAAAGCACGCTTGTCCCCTTCCCGTCTCCCCCGACGGCCCGCGCTCACACCATATCGGCACGCTTACGTCATCGCTGCTGCGCTGTTCAGAAGCGCTCTCTATGGCAAGCCTTTTTAGCATTTAAATCTTTGTTCTGACTCCATAAATATATTTAGAGATATCTCTAATTATATTTTGACTAGTCATAATTATAATTCGACTAGTCAGAATAACAATTAGAGATATCTGCAATTACAATTGTACTAGTACGAAATCAGATTGGAGATATCTGCAAATATATTATGACTAGTCATATTCCTCCATTGACTTCCATTGAAAAATATTTGCAGATATCTCTAAATGAGTTTTGACTAGTCACAATTGTAATTAGAGATATCTCTGAGTTTTTACTAGTCATAATACATTTGGAGATGTCTTCAATTCGTCATATTTAGAGATATTTACTAATATATTTGAAGATATCTCTAATTAATTTACTAATAGTCGAATTACAGTTGAAGATATCTTGAATTGGATTTTTGACGAGTCAAAACTCAGAGATATCTGCAAATATTTTTCAATGAAAGTCAATGGAGGAATATGACTAGTCATAATATATTTGCAGATATCTCCAATCTGATTTCGTACTAGTACAATTGTAATTGCAGATATCTCTAATTGTCATTCTGACAAGTCGAATTATAATAATGACTTGTCAAAATATATAATTATATCTCTAAATATATTTATGGATAGTCAGAACAAGGTTTAAATGTTAAAACGGCTTGCCATACGCTCTCACCCAGTAGCACAGTGGAGATTTCTCTAGTTATATCGTTTCAGTCGTGTGATATGCAGTGACATGCTGTCAAATATTTCGCCAAACAATCCTTAGGGATGCGGGGACACGCAGTCAGATATTTTACTGAACAGATCCGCCACTTTTGGCGCTCATAAACAATCATTAAGCTCTCGTGCTGCAGGAATGAGGAGGTCTGCTGAAGGTGCAGCTGTCATGCTGTGAGGAGTTCTCGTCTTTAATAAACTACGGCAGTTTGCGTTCACTGAACAGTAAGAATGATTAATAAATCCATATGAAACAGCCCCTTAAAAGTCACGTCTCGCTTTCGGTTTCGGGCTTTGGCGCGTTTCGCACTCACACACAAGCGTACCGCGCCAAAGCCCAAGTGTACCGCGCTCAGGCACACCTCTTCCAACCGGGCCAGGGCCGGCCAAGTGAACCATGCTTAAGCCCGATTCAACGCACTCACACTTCTCAAACGATCCGGGAAACGGGCCTGGGCACGGTACGGATGGCATAGTGTGAGTAGGCCCTTACAAATCAACAATATTTTATTGCTGTCATTTAACAAAATGGATCAAATTATAGAAATATTATAAAATAAAAACAACAGATATTGTAAACAGTGGTTAGGGTAAGGAAAAGTTCAGTTACTCTGAACTAAACTGAACTGTTATTAAACATGTTGTCTGGTTTCTAAATGTCATTTTAATTTGGAAGGTTTCTCTCTTATGAGAGTACCTCACTACATATGACACGAGGCTTTAGGTATTTTTTGTCGTCAATATATGTAAATCAATACTTTAAATATTCGGGGTCGTACAAACGGTAGGGTTTTCGCGCACGAATTTCAAAATAAAAGTCCGGGATAAGCAAAATAAGGAATTCAACTTTTGTTGTTTTTTTGACCACACACTCCGCGACCCTCTGAAAATGTTTCCGCGACCTAACACTGTAATAGGGCACATGAGCATTTAAAGAAGCCAGATGTTAATGTGAGTAAACTGTTTCTCTTTTAGGTAAGTGAGGATGATCACATGTGTTTCTGTTCTGCTTAACAGCAGAATAATGAGAGAGAGATATGTTGAGAAATTGTTATAACTTTTCTTAATAGTCAAGTTTACACACAATAAGATTATTCTGCCTCTGGAAAAGCTCAGATGATGATGTCAGGGTTTTGGAAGTTTCTGATTGGCTGATTGACAACATTTGAGTTAATGTGAGGCACAACTGTAGAATAGTGTTGAAGGAAAAGCTCAAACACACTGCTTCACTGTGTGACAACATGGGGAAATCAACAAGCCAGAATCAACAACAAAGCCAGATTACCATTAGCTGAATGACACTGGGGAAAGACTAATGTTGGAGACATGTCCTGTGCTCTGATGGAGCTAAGATTGAACTGTTTGGCCATAATGAGCAGTGTTACATTTGGAGGACAAAGGGGAAAGCGCACAAGCCTAGAACACCATCCCAACTGTGCAGTATGGGGGCGGCAGCATCATGTTGTGGGGCTGTTCTGCTGCAGGAGGGACTGGTCCACTTCACAGCATAGATGGCATCATGAAGACAGAACATTATGGAGAAATGCTGAAGCAACATCTCAACACATCAGCCAGGACATTACAACTTGACCACAAATGGGTCTTCCAGACAGACCATGACCCTGAGCATACTGCCAAATGAGTTCAAATGTGCTTTAAGGACAACAGAGTGAATGTTTTGGAGTGGCCATCACAAAGCCCTGATCTCAATCCTATAGAGAATGTGTGGGCGGAGTTGAAAAAGCTTGTGCGAGCAAGACAGCCTACAAATCTGACTCAGTTACAGCAATTCTGTCAGGAGGAATGGGCCAAAATTCCTGCAAACTATTGTGAGAAGCTTGTGGAAAAAGACCCAAAACACTTGACCAAAGTTATACAGTTTAAAAGCAAAGCTTAAAAATACCAAGGAAATGTGTGTAAACTTTTGACTGTCTAGAAATTAATAAAACATTCTCTCATTATTCTGGCAATTAGCAAATGTAAATCATTTAGGTAATCCTAACAAACCTAACATAGTAAACGTTTAGTATCATTTACCATCAGACATTTATTTAAAAATGGTTATGTTCCTTTTTTAGAGTGTGTTCTGCTTTCATTTGTAACTGAACAGATGTGAGTTTTTGTCGTGTTTTTTGACCACATCTATAAACATTTCTGTAAACTGGAAGCTGCAGATGTTGTTTTTTGTTCGTATTGTGATGCAGAGAAACAGAATATTAAATGATAGAACAGTGGGCGTGGCTTGTTTTGTCTACTGTGAGCTGATTGGATGTAGTAAAGAGGGCATTTCATTCAGAAAGATGGGGGAAAGTTTTGGGGAGTGGCTGATGTGGACAACTGGATTAAACAGTATATTTCAAGGTTTCCTTCTATTTGTTGGGACATTGTGAAATTTGGTGTACATTTGGACAGCAAAGATGATGACTTAACTGCACATTGTTTATTCATTTTACTTAATTTATTTATTCATTTACTTAACTTACTTTATTCTTCATCCACAATTGCAAAACTTTGAAAACAGCTTCTAAATTGATTGTTTGCCACCTATGCACAAGCTTTAAAAACAATGAAGGGTGAGAAGGCTAAACAATTGTATGATTTGTTCATATAATTTGGTTTTACTTAACCCCTTACAGATTTTCTTTTTGATATCTGCACGGTATGTTGTTCTTTTTTTTGTTAAGTTTTTTTGTACGTTTTATTTGTATTTTTTGTCTTAATTTTATGCTTTTGTATTTGATTCACTGTATATCTGACATGTCTCGGTCAGTTTGTGCAAGATTATGTTTGGACTGAGTTTGGCCTGAATTGTTATGTTTTTGAAAGGCAAATAAAAAGTATCAGATCAGTTATTTGCTTTTACAGGGATCTAAATTTCAATTTAGAACACGTAAATATAAACAATATAGATTAAATTGAGGTAGAAAATGCTCTTGGAAATCAAATTAAGAGTTCCGCGCAGCTTTATGACGCCACAACACATTAAACTAGAGGTCTCTTTCAGTAACGTCACGTTATCATTTTATTCGCTGAAATTTCCATCTAAATACATACAGTAAGAAAATATTACACTACATTTAATCACTAGTATAAATCACTGGTATGGTCGAGTATCGATTTTACCAAAAATAAACTATCATTTACGGACGTGACGAAGACTTTTATTTTGAACTGTGTTGTCATAATCCTGCATCGCTCGCTATGTGTGTGTGTCTGAGGGGGTTCTGTAGAGGAGAGGTTTGTTTACATACTTACCCCTTCATTATTTACCGCTGTTTTAATGTATTTAGAGTATTTTTGTTTAAAATAGTTAACATTATATGTAAAGCAGTGCTGTAGGCAGACTTTTATCGCAACATTTAACGGTCATAATTAATATCAGTATCATTTTGATTGGCTATAACGTTACTTTTCTAATATAAGATGTATTATTAATATCATCATTATTAGTTACATTTTCTCCTGATCTCGGCATAATAAAGTTCTCACCAAATAAAAACGTTTCTCGTGATCATGTAATTTGGTGAGAACTTTATATTATGGCAAGATCACGAGAAACTGATATAAATAAAAATAAAACGTATTATATTAATAAAACGTATTAATTTAACAATTATTGTAGCTCCTAGAATTAATCCCACTTTATTTTACATATCCTTTATGAATAAAAGTATTTGATCGGTAAGTTTGAAGACAATCATATTTGTGATTTAATTGTATTCCTTATAGGCTCTCCAGAAGTTAATGCAATGATTTTAAACACCACTGTTGGACAAAATATAGTATAAATGCAGCTTGATTAATGAACATGTAACATCACAGTCAGTCAAACTCAATATCCAAAAACACATTTCATTTATATAGATATTAGGATATTATTATTATTTCATCAAAGAAGGAATACGTTTTAAACTAATATATTTGTATACTGTGTAACTGGGTCTGCCTATTGTCTACATCCTATTGTAAATATTTGCATTTTATTTTTTTTTTTCCAGTAATTTCTTCTCATCATCTGGAAAATGACAATGTGCAAAAACCAGCGGTGAAGATGGAACTGCTGAAATCTGCATCACATAAACCTACAAACATGGAGTGTGTTAAAGAAGAGTGTGAAGACGTACATATTCCAGATCCATGCACTGTGAAAGATGAAGAAACCGAGGAACAAATAGGTTAGTTTGCTTTCTCGAGTGTTTACTCTGAAGAAGTTATGATATTTTAGGGTAACACTTTAATTTAAGGTGTCATTGTTGCATACAGTATGTTTTATACACTCACCGGCCACTTTATTAGGTACACCTTACTAGTATCGGATTGGACCCCCATTTTGCCTCCAGAACTGCTTTAATCCTTCATGGCAGAGATTCAACAAGCTACTGGAAATATTCCTCAGAGATTTTGCTCCATATTGTCATGATAGCATCACACAGTTGCTGCAGATTTGTCGGCTGCACATCCATGATGCCAATCTCCCGTTCCACCACATCCCAAAGCTCGATGGTTGGTGGAGCGGTGGCACTTCACATGTTGAGCCCTATGTGTGCACGTGCCAAATTCTCTGTAAACCCTAGAGATGGTTGTGCGTGAAAATCCCAGTAGATCAGCAGTTTCTGAAATACTCAGAGCAGCCCGTCTGGCAGCTGCACCCAAGTCTCTTAAATCCCCTTTCTTCCCCATTCTGATGCTCGCTTTGAGCTGCAGCAGATCCTCTTGACCATGTCTACATGCTTAAATGCAGTGAGCTGCTGCCATGTGATTGGCTGATTAGAAATCTGCGTTAACAAGCAGCTTGACAGGTGTACCTAATAAAGTGGCCGGTGAGTGTTTACTTACTATTGTAAATACAAATAATTATGCATAATTACATGCAAATAGACGGCTTGCCGTCCAACCCTATTTTAATCAATGAATATTAATATTAGTAGTTTAAAATATTTAGCAAATAAAATAAACAACAAGCAAAACTATCTTATTCAAAAGCTTATAAATATATTTCTTACCCCATTGGCGGATTATTTTGCTTGTTTTAAGGAAAAACTCACTGAATTTTGACTCATTATTCCTGAAAACAAAACAATATGTTGTGCTTGTCTAGAAAATGCTTCTTAATTTAGGAATTTGTAGATATTTGGACTCAAAACAAGACAAAAACTCCAAGCAAAATAGCATTGTCTGCAGTGTGTGTCCACCTTTGACATACAGAATAAGATTATTTAGTGTGTTTAAAAAAATAACAATAATTTTGACATCATTATATATATTTGGACTCGAAACTAGTAGCATTTTTACCATTGATGTACTGCAAACCTCCATTCTGCAAGTGAATGAATCCTTTACTATGTTAATGTCAGACTGTACGCCTGTAAAGGAGGAAACCCAAGATGTGAAAGATGAAGAAGAGGATGAAGAACAGCTCATTGACCCAGAAAGTACACAGACATCTCTCAGTTGCACAGAAACACACAATAAGCGCTTCAAAAGAAGACGCCTACAAACAAAACCAGGCTTCAAATGCAGCCAATGTGGAAAGAGTTTCTCTCGTGAAGGACACCTCGAGAGCCACATGCGGATTCACACCGGGGAAACCCCGTTTACCTGCAAGCAGTGCGGAAAACGCTTCAACCAGAAGGGAAATCTTTACAGCCATATGAAGATCCACAGCGGAGAGAGTCCGTTTAGGTGCCAGCAATGCGGGAAGAGCTTCAACCAGAAGGGAAACCTGAAACTCCACATGAGAATCCACACCGGAGAGTGTCCGTTCACATGCAAACACTGCGACAAGAGCTTCTCGCTGAAGGGAAACCTCATGAACCACATGAAGACTCACTCCGGAGAGAGATCGTTCGCATGCAGGCGCTGCGGGAAGAGCTTCACGCAAAACAAAACGCTAAAGTCTCACATGAAGGTGCACGAGGGAGATCAATGCGGAGTATGTTCACGTCACAGATCCAGCTGTTCTGATGCCAAATGCTCGAACAGACACTTGAGAACTAAACATGAAGAAAAGCAAACTGTTGAATGCAGTGAGATGGGAATCTCAGATGATCAACGTTTAACATCTGACGACAGAGAAAAACCCTTCCAATGCCAGCAGTGTCCGAGGAGTTTCCGACTGAAGAGGTTTCTCCAGCTGCACTTGAGGATTCACACCGGGGAGAAACCGTTTGTGTGCCGACACTGTGGGGAAACTTACACACACCAGGGAAACTTCAAGGTAGGCGGACACACTTTACTTTAATGTGCAGTTCACCATCCACTGATTAAACATATCGGTAAATTAGCAGTTTTCCATATTTTGGTCGTATTATTTCTGCTTATTATGGGATTTTAATATTTCTGACAGCAAATTTTACCCTTGAAAAGTGTGAAAAAGTGACTTTTAGGGGCCCGATCATACACGGCGCAGTGTGGCGCAGGGCGTGGCGCAGTAGTCTTTTGGTAGTTTCAGCTTGGCGCAAGAGTGGTTTTGAGGCGTTGCGCTTCGCTGTTTAAATAGCAAATGCATTAGCGCTCATATGTGCGTCCATAGGCGTTCTGGTCTAAAAAGGAAGGTGTTCTGAGGCGGACCGCTGGCGCGTTGCTATTTTGAGAAACTATAATAGATTTTTCATTAGACCAAAACAAACCCGGTCTAAACTCCAGCGCAGAGTTGCGCCTCGCTTACACACTGCTTAATACACACAAGAGAGCAATACGCAAATATCTTTACATATGAAAAAATATAAATATTAAGGATATATATAGGATATAATAAGAATAGATACAGAATATAAATATAAAGGATTAAAATATTACAAAACATATTATTTTCTAGCCTACATAAATATGAAAAATCACTGCTTTATGTCTTCTTCATCTCGGGAGGCTTTTTCAGTTCATTCATAACAATTTGCTTTTGTATAATGTTATTATTATTAGCAGTATTATTTATTATATCCATATTTATATTTGTTTTATTAAAAACAAGCTTAGATTTGTCCACCTGTCAGGTTTTAGACCATATGGGGCACAGCATGTGTTTTAGGATATAACTCAGGTTTTTGAGCACACTTCATTATTATTGTTCATTTATTCGTTTGCTGGAAATTAGAACTGAATTTAGAAATAGTTTTAAAACAAATATTTGTGCTTAACAAACAAAATTAATTATTTATAGACTAATTGATGTCTGTGCGTAAAGGTTTCCCTATCCAAGAGCGAATGTGAAAGTAGATCTATTATCTCTTATTCTCACGCAGTAGATGCTCTGTTTAACTGTTTTCTGTTAATAAACTGTGAACTGTTTGCTTGTGAAATGCTCAGTTTTTCCACTTAAGCCCCTTTCACACAATTTTCCGGAAAGGTTGTATGTGTGAACAGGTCCTTTTTGAAAATACCGGTAAATTCGTTCTGGCTATTTTCCGGAAAGAGAAGTTGTAACATTACCGGCAATTTGCCGGAATGCTGCGCTGTGCATAAGCGCGTGCACGTCTAGAACGTGCTGACGTGAGACGTCTGCTTTAGCCAATCAGAACAGTCAGACGCATTCACGTCCGCGCGGTTTGTGAGAATAAAAACCTTTGTATATTTTTCCAGACACATTTAGCTGCTAGAAGTTAGTCAGATCACGTTTATATGTTCTTCTTAATGCCAACTGTGTAAATAATCATCGATGAGATGCTTATAATAAGCCGTTGTTTGTTTACCTTCAAGCTTTGCGTGTGCCTGTGGAACAGCCTGTGAGCGCCTGCACACGCACATATTATGAACATCTCGACATGCGAAAGTGATCCTGCGAAAGTTGTTCACAATATTGATCATCCACAGAGTTTGTAATTTAGTCAAATGTTTACAAACACAAGCACAGCTGTTTAAAGCTCATTTGTGGTGAATGATGTCAGAATTTACCGCTATTTTGGAATGGATGTGTGAATGCTCTTTTCCGGAAAATTTCCGTAACGTCCTCGCCTGTGTGAACAGCGCTTTTTTGAATATACCGGTAAAGTCGTTCCGGAGATTTTCCAGATATTTACCGGTATCACTGTGTGAAAGGGGCTTTAGACTTACTTTGCGTCCTGTAAATAGTGAATGCGCTCTTGGCGTGACGCAGCTGACTCTTAAAGGGAATGGGAGATGAGACTCTGATTGGTTTTTTCTCAAAACACACCTATAACTCATTAAGAAAATTAACTCAACCCTTTTAGACCATGTGCCATGGCGCAAAGCGGATTTTCCCGTCCTTAAATTAGCAAAAATGCATTCTGACACACCCTGAAAGCGTTTGCGCCCTGCGCTTTGCTCTCTGTGCATGGACTGTCAAAATAGAGCCCTAAGAAGAAGTTAACACAACTAATTATTTTGAGTCAACGGTACTGAAGTTTGCTTTAATAAAAAGTTGTAAATACAAGAAATTAAGGCAATCAGTTTCCTCAATTTTTCTAAGTAAGGTCAACTTATTACATTTTACAGTGTAGATATTCTTCAAGACACTAGTGTTCAGCTTAAAGTGACATGTAAAGGCTCACTAGGGTAATTAGGGTAAAGTTAGGGTAATTAGGCAAGTCATTGTATAACAGTGGTTTGTTCTGGAGACAATTTAAATTAACAGTGCTTAAGGGGGCGAATAATATTGGACTTAAAATGACTTTAAAACAAATAAAAACTGCTTTTATTCTAGCCCAAATAAAACAAATCAGACTTTCTCCAGGAGAACAGATATTTTAGGAGTTTTAACAGTATTGATGTATAATGATATTGGCGCTGGTGTTGATTTTGACGTAACGATGCGTGTTCATTATCATGGTATATTGAATTATTGAATATGTCTACCTCTAGGTTCACGTTCGGATGCACACTGAAGAGCGGCCGTTCATTTGCCCTCATTGCGGAAAACACTTCCATCATCAAGGAAACCTGAGGAGCCACATGCGTCTGCACACGAGGGAGAAGCCGTACCCCTGTCCTCTGTGCGGAGAGAGCTTCGTTTATTCAACACATCTCAAGACACACCTGGAGTTTCATTCTGAACGCGGAAAGAGTCACATGTTGAAAAGGGAATATGTAAATGAGCCGAGCAGCCAATCAGAGGACAGCCGGTTTATTTGCGATTGTTGCGGTAGAAACTTTCTTTCGCGGTATCATTTAGAAGTGCACCAGATATGTCGAGGCGACGACAGACCGCATGTGTGCTGTTTCTGCAGCATGAGCTTTAAGTGGATTGGTAATCTAAAGGCACACATGAGGTGGCATGGCTCTGTGAAAGCCGCCGCAGGCGTGATTCGACGTCCACTAATTCATTCTGACGCAAAAACAGACGAGGAAAGCGGAAAGCTGAAAAGGGGTACTTGTGAAACTTCAACAGAGGCTGAAAGACGAGAGAAGAACGGAGAGAAGCTGTACTACTGCTCTACATGCGGGATGAGTTTCAGCACATGCATTTATTTGCTGGCTCATAAGAAGAAGCACTGTCCGAAGTGAACTGTAAAACTCATCTTTGAAGGCTCTACGATGCAGTTTTTATTGCTTATAAAGAGTGAAAACGGTCATTGGATTTTCATTTTAGAAACGGATATTAAAAAAAATGGAAAACGAGCCGTTTTTTAATTTTCGTTTTTCTAATTTTAAAACAAGGCGAAGCAGTGGCGCAGTAGGTAGTGCTGTTGCCTCAAAGCAAGAAGGTCGCTGGTTCGAGCCTCGGCTCAGTTGGCGTTTCTGTGTGGGCAAACTCTCTGCGTTCACCTGAGTTTCCTCCGGGTGCTCCGGTTTCCCCCGCAGTCCAAACACATGCGGTACAGGTGAATTGGGTAGGCTAAATTGTCCGTAGTGTATGAGTGTGTGTGTGGGGGGGACTAAGCCGACAAGAAAATGAATGAATGATTTATTGGTTTATTATTATTATTAATGTTATTATTATTATTATTTTATCATTATTATTGTTATTATTATTAATGTTATTATTATTATTATTAATATTATTATTGTTATTATTATTGTTATTATTATTGTTGTTTTATTATTATTATTATTATTATTATTGTTTTATCATTATTATTATTGTTATTATTATTATTGTTTTATCATTATTATTGTTTTATTATTATTGTTTTATTATTAATATTATTTTATCATTATTATTATTGTTATTATTATTAATGTTATTATTATTATTGTTTTATTATTAATATTATTTTATCATTATTATTATTGTTATTATTATTAATGTTATTATTATTATTGTTTTATTATTATTTTATCATTATTATTATTATTATTAATTTATTATTATTGTTTTATTATTATTAATATTATTGTTATCATTATTGTTATTATTAATATTTTATCATTATTATTATTATTAATGTTATTATTATTATTGTTTTATTATTATTATTATTGTTTTATCATTATTATTATTGTTATTATTATTAATGTTATTATTATTATTGTTTTATCATTATTATTATTGTTATTATTATTAATGTTATTATTATTATTATTATTGTTTTATCATTATTATTATTGTTATTATTATTATTATTATGTTTTAATTGTTATTTTTTATTGAAATGGCCAATTTGTGAGTGAGGACAGTTGAATGTGCTGGCCAGTTTGTTTTTTGTTTAATAAATGACAGTGGGCTACAGTTTTTTTTTTACTTTAAAATTTGCTATTTTTTCCTAATGATATATGATATAATCAACTTGTATTTTAAAAATTTATCTTGTTTTATTTTTTCTTTATTGCAAATTTTAGGAAATATTTTTAGTACATCAAAAAGTGTGATTATGATGACATCTGTAAAAGAGTACTGCTTAAAATGTCACTAAAATACAGTATTTAAATCTCATAGTTAAATACAAACTGAGGCTTATAACTGCAAAAGGTCCACTTTTTGAGAAAAAAGAATCACCCCTTACACCAGGCTGTCTATGAGCCTGAATTAGCAAATACTATAAATATAATGAGTGTAAACATAAGGTGAGCAGACTACACTGTAACCCCGTGTCCTAACAACACACTGCATGAGGAGATACGCAGTGATGAGCAACTGGGCTGTTTGCACCAGACGAAACAGGACAGAAATGTAAACACAGCCATTCAGAAGCACAGAATAGAGCACTCACTGCACTCCAGCACAATGGGAAGCTTTATAATCTAATGAATACATATTAAAGCTCTTTAACATGATTAATGTAGATGCTGAATCACTGATATGTGCTGGTCTCAGTTCAGTTTCAGACGCTTTCTTTTATTGTCCAGATCTGAGCTGAACTATCTGCTGCTGATTTCAGTAGTACGGCAGTAAATGTGATGTAAAACGGCATTCAGACTCACATTATTAGCATTTAACACTGAATAAAGCACATGAGCTGCACCTGAGCGGGTCATTGCCAGTTTGCTATTGAGAAGCAGAATCCGTTTCTAAAATATTAATCTCAGATGTTGGTTAGGACAAAAACTCCTTTTATTATTGGAAAATATTCCCTCTATGGCGTGCCGCTGCTTTTATATAGAACATGACTTAAATCAGCCTTTAGACTTGATTGTCTCGCTCCTGCTGGTCCTCAATCTGGCAACCTGCGCTTGTTTTGATCCAGGAATGCAACAAGACTCAGTTTCAACTTTGTTTATTTTCCTTATACAGTCCGACACAAAACTGGGAAGCTAGAAATCTTCTGCTTAGCTTTAGTTCTGCTTAACACAATCCATTTTGGAGATCAGGTCATGCTTTTCTCTTAAATATAACACATAAATACGGTTATTTCATTAATGTCAGTGTTTTGGTTTTACAGTATTTGCAAGCAGTGCAGAACTGTCAACGCTTACAAGTTCACTTTTTTACCAATGACGATTATGTTAATAGCTTAAATCATGAAAATGACCCACAGTGCACAGCAGATGGTTACAGTAAGTGAACAGTGTGTGTATTTAACAGTGTTTATGTTAGCTTGTCAGGCTAAACAGGCCTTTTCTCCCATTATCTCCATGTGAAATGCGTCAGCTGCTCTTCATCTCTGAAAAAACAACAACACAGAAAACAGATTGCAAATCACAATCAGTGCAGTTTTACACACTGTTGTTTGAATAAAATAAATTAAATTAAGCGTACAAATGATGGTGTTTTCTACATGCTGCATGTGCTCAGGCGCACGTCTCCGCTGGAGGAGTAAACACTCAAGTCTTCTGCTCGATAAGGAGATCCAGGCCTGAAAAACACACACAAATAAACACGTGAGAACATCTGACACGTGAGCAGAGGGATTCATTAATATATAATTCACAATGAAATCACACATCCAAAGCTTGACTGAGCTCCTGCATGTAGCTACGGTTGCTAAGCCACGATTGGTGGGTGTCGGTTTTTGGGTGTGGCTTAGCGAAGGATCAATTAATTAATAATTTCATCATCATAATTATATTTAAATTAGTTCTCAAGTTCATTTCATTTATGAATTAGTGTCTTGCTTATCAGGGCTCGCCACTGTGGATGCCCTTCCAGCTGCAACCCAGTACTGGGAAGCACCCATATACAGATTTTCCAGCATTGAAACTAAAAGTTAAGGGTATAGTGACCTTCTGAGATAGAGGTTGGAGACGCAGCCTTCATAGGTGTTTTTTCCCAGGACCACATTCGAGGAATACTGTTCCCGGAAAATTCCCGTCAACCTCTGCCCGACATCTTCCTCATCAACTCGAAGCTCCACACTAAAACAAAGGGGAACATTAATCATAGCACACTGCAGACATGCTGATCTTTGTCTGGTTTCTAGTCCAGATATCTAAAAACTCTTAAATCAAGAAGCACTTTCCAGACAAGCACAAAATATTGCCTTGTTTTTACAAATAATTCAAAATTATTATTTCAAAATTATATCAACTTATTTATTAATTCAAAATTAAGAAACAAGCTAAATAATCTGATAATGGGGCAAGAAAAATAATATTATTTCAAAGTTAAAACAGGAAAACTTTATTGTTATTATTTTATAATTATTTTATTTATCTTATTTGCAGATTATTTTGCTCTGTTTAAGGAAAAACTTATTATTTCTGAAAACAAGAAAATATGCTTAGCTTGTCTAGAAAATGCTTCTTGATTTAAGAATTTTAGATATTTGGACTAGAAACACAACAAAAACTCCAGTAAAGATTTTTGTGTACATTTAGAGGTCAAGTGATATCCACTTGTATTCAAACATGTTGATGTTATGTTGATAAAAATATTCAAACTATATATGAGTGCATTTGGACTCTATATTAAAGTATACAACACTATGCACTCGTCATTTCAGTTGTTTTCATTTGTTCTAACTAGTGAAACAAATCAAATGCTGAGTACATAATGTTGTATATTCTGTAAGCACAAATTCACTTTATATATATATATATATATATATATATATATATATATATATATATATATATATATATAAATTAGTTAAAATATATCAACATAAGGAGGAGAATATCTGCTCAAAAACAAGGGAGAAATAATCAGATATCGAAAACTGACATTACTGTACTTACTTTTATTAAGTAAAGTCAACTAATCATTTTACTCAATTTACAAAGTTTACTAATCGCTTTAAAACAATGGATTACACACTTTTATTTTGAAGTAAAGTCAACTAATCACCTTAAAAACAGTGGCTTTACTCATTTTTTAAAGCAAAGTTAACTATAATCCCTTTAAAGGGTCACGAAACACCAAAACACATCGTATATGTGTCTCACACTGCTAAAAACACTATTAAGACACCTATATTTCACTAAAAAGTGTAAATTGGTTGTTTTTGCGTTATTTCAAGCAAATTCGTACTTCCGGTTTGAAACAAATTTTTGAAGCTGCGTCACGGTCATGAGATAATAGCGTGTATTCCAGCGTGCAGACTGGACGTCTGTGCCAGAGTGAGTCTTATTACGTCTTACAGTGTGCTGCATTAATGCATGAGTAAAGCTTGGTTCAAACCAATCAGCGCACTCGATTGTGCAACTTCATTAATATTCATTACTGTCACAGTGTTTAGACGACAGAGACGCCACGTTGTGTTGGCAAAACAAGCGTGAAGTGTTGCTTTTATAGTTTGCTGCAGTGAAGTTTTGTTTTCATTTTCTCTCTGTGAGAGCTCAGCTGGAGTCACGTGTGGAGTAACAGTGTACGCGACGCTCCACAACAATAACTTACGTGTCTAAGGAGGATTATTGTTTACCTGAGAGCTGTTCTCATCTGCAAACGCTGAGATCCGGATTCGCTTGTAGTCTCCTCTTAATAAAGACGCGGCTCTAGTTGCTGGTGATTGTTCTGTCTCTACAGATTTGGTAAGTGAGCGACCAGTGCTCTTTGTTTATTCAGTTTGTTCGTATCGAACTAAGTTAACTATTGCACCGAGTGTAAACACGTTAGCATCACAACCAAACTTTAACCTCGTGTAGGGTTTTTACCGCATTTAGTGACCGGAATAACACACGCGGCTTTCTGACACTACCTGCCGTGTGCATCTAAGTTTCCGGGAAATGCGGAGGGTTTTTTTCTCTCATTCGCCGTGCGGTATCAAACATTGCATGACAAATACACGCTTACAGCAGCTCC